TAACCAACGTCGGGTCAACGGTTTTAACCAACCACCATTTCAAACGTTTACCGACGTCGGGCCAACGTACTGTGACGTTGAGACAACGTCTACAATCACATCTAATATTTACAACCTCTAGCCAACTTTGGGCCAACGGTAGTACCCAATCATCTTTTTAGTAGTTTGCCGACGTCGGGCCAGTAACAAATCGTGACGTTGTACCAACGTCCGTAGTCAGAATGAATATTTACGAAGGCTTACCAACGTTGGGACTACATCGGAAAATCGACAAATATATTCATACGTTCGGCCAACGTGAAATTCCAATGTTGGTTTGACGTTACCTCTCCGACCAAATTTTGCAACCAAACACCAACGTCGTACCAACGTCAGATATCTGACCCCGACGCTTACCGACGCTTGCCAACGTTTACCAACGTCGTTCCAACGTCGCTTTACTAGCTGGGCAAAGTGCGGCCCGCCAGTGATTTATTTTTTGCGGCCCGCGAAAATGAATTAAAACAACCCTATGTGTGCGGCTCGCTAAGCAACATTGGCTAGAAAACACCTTGTTTTTTATGGCCCGACACCGATCAAATGTAAAAAGTAAAATAAACTGAGAATAAATTGGTGTAAAAGCAGTTATTGGAGGTGACGTAAATGTTATAACAGCTGTGATGCATTTAGTTCGTTCTAGGTTGTTTCATGTTCATCAGAAGAGCGCTATAAAATTTCGTTATTGACTCTCACCCGATATAATGTGTTAAGTGTTAAAAGCGTGATAGCGCCCTCTAATCAAATTCGTACTACTGTACTGTTGGACGAAGAGGGTCCAAACCAATTGGGGCTGACTGAGTTTCGGTCAGGTTCCGAATAAAAACTCCCCGGTACCGCCCACGGGGGGAGAGGTTTATGGCTATGAATGGCCAAAACTGTGCTTTTAGACCACAACTCTCAAAACAGTGCACCTTCCAAAAATTGTTTCAAAGTACGGGAAAGTTATCTAAAACGTTGACTGCATATGAACAATAAAGGGCCTAATTAGTTTAAATATTGTTTACGTAAACTACTGATAAACAAATGCTCAATGGACGAATATGTCTAATTATTCTATATAGGCTAACTAGCCATTAATAAAAACAAAATTACACTCCGAAATAGATTATTGATACTTCCACAAAATTACAACTGGAAAATCCAAGAAAAGAAACGTGCAACTATACTCTCAATGGATCATTGAACCGTATGACAGCTTGAATACAGTATTTTAGATTTTGCCAACAAATGATGGCAGCAGACCATGGGGTCAATTTTACGGTCGGGGCCCGTTTTAGACACCTTTCCTCTGCATAACAATCTTTTAACACAAAACCAATTGGAGACCGAACACCGAGACCACATATAGGGCCTATGCCCCAAATGTGGTCTTGAATCGCGGACGACGGACTGCGAACGTATATGGGGATTGGCAATCGATATAGTTTTTGGATAGGCAAATTATTATTTGTGGTCCGACGACCTGGCGTCGTTGTCCGACGGGAAGAGGAATTTAATGACACAGGCCCATACGCAGGGGTACGTACGCCCCTCCCCCTCAAATTATCATAGGTCCAAAATGTTAGGGGTAGAAAATTGAACTCACACTCGCACATTCTAGAAATCCATCCACCAAAAGTCCTTGACCAATTAGAGTTTCCAACTGTTTAACAAAACAGAGTCTGGATTTTCGAGAACAATCTCGCTCGTTTTGATTCGACTGTGTAGAATTTTCTGAAGTCCTGGAGAGGGTGGGGGTTAGGGTGATGGGGAATGTCTTATATGAATTAAAATATGTACATAAAAGTGACAAAGCAATTGTCTTTATTGTATTTGTATTACACAGAAATACTTCAGTAGTATAATTCATACTTTAATAGAAAACTTTTTTTAACTTCTCGGGAGGGGTAAGCTGGTAAGAGTAAGTATTTTTGATGAATTTTATTAAAATTCTAATTGTCAAATTAAATCACAATGAAAAGCATTTGCAAATTATGATACGGTGCAAGATTTCCTGGCATCAGTAGGTGAAATATTCTTGCTCAACTTTAGCTCTACGTACTGAAGCAAAGAGCATATCCCCCAATGGGACACGTATCAAGAGATTTAACTTAAAAGAAGCACAAAATGCATCTTATTATTTTTGGAAAATGATGAAAATGGCTTTAATACGACAGAAGAATTGAAAAACTACTATACTAAGCTTCCGCTGGGTTTTTTTTTTGTTTTTTTTTTTTTTGTTTTTTTTTTTTGAACAAATAAACAGCCCTCCTCATTCACAACAGCCTATTTGTTCACATATTGATAGAACAAATTTAAAATTCCATATCGTTCTAAAAATCCCAAGATGTAATGAAAAGTTAACAAAAAATTTCAAGATCCCAAGGCCTTTTTGTCATTGAACATCACAAGATCTTGGGATAAATCCCAAGCAAGTGTCACAATGGCATCTAGGTGTATGTCCAAAAGTAGGGATTTAGTACTCGATCTCGATTTATTCACGAATCTTAGAGTGCCATTTCCGGCCATCTAGGAGTACCATAATTATAATTTTAAATTTAAATATAAACCCTCCATCTGTGAAAATCCTTCCCTCCCCATCCCCCACTCCTCATTTTCTTAATCTGTCATTGAAAAACCGTTTAATACTGCAGATATAGCATATTCAGAATCAATTAAGGCAAGAAAAAATATCAAAAATGTCTGAGCGCGAGGGGGCTCTGCACATCGACCCTACGGGCATCTGCGGCCCCCAGCCATTTTGGTCCACTCTCCACAAATTCGTACCCACTCAATAAAAATCCTGCGTACGGACCTGAATAGTAATAAAAGTACCGGTACGGTACCAGATGCATTTATAAAGCGCATAATGCATAAAGACTTTATATGCGCTAGACCTTCCCCTCCCCTCCCCCACCCCCACTGGCGTCACCATTGTGTGGCCTGGACTGATTACCGATAATCATTGAAAATACTATGGTTTTTTAGGCTTCAAAGTTTGACAAAGTGGCAATAGCTACCTCTTTCAACGGATTACTTCATGTATCTTCAAACATGACCCTGTCTTTGCCCGTCGGGAAATATAAGAACAGTGTGAATGGTTTCGAGTTGACTAATTCTGTATTCGTATGCCTACTTATTGGTTTGATTAGGCATAGAATATACCTTTCCGGAGTGTCAATCAAACTTAACAACTGACCAATCAGAATAGTTCTAGGAATACGCGCGCACTGTTTCACAAACACGTGTTGTCCCACAAACGCACGTGTTTGCGTATGTTCATGTCTCGTGTGGGACCTTAGCAACAATATCCAAGGGGCGGGGCTTAGCGGAAAGGTCCATTTAGAAAAATTGTAACCGTCAATATATCGACATTTAAAAGTCAGGCCCATATCCAGGTTTTTGAATGGGGGGTGGTGCGTTTTGCGAGCGCAGCGAGCAACCAGGCTGGGGGCCAGAGGGCCGCCCAGGGCCCCCGGTTGGGGTCCAGGGGCCGAATATAGGCGCCGGAAAAATTTGCTTTCTTACGTCCTAGTAGACTAATTTGAAGGCATGTTAATCTCTATAATATATCCGTGAACACAGCGATAGGGCCTATCAAAAAATTACCAGTGGAGGACATGAAACAAGCAAATTGTTTTCCAAATGAAAAATACTACAGTACTGTATAAATTCGTAACCATTACGAATAAAAATTCAAAATCAATTCTGCTTTTAAATGAATAATAACAAAGTTTGATATAAAAGAGTGGATTAAAAGCGACTGTAAATGAGCTGATTCAAACAACTAGAAGCATTGAAACAAATTAATCAACATTTTTATTCTTGGCATCGACAGAAAACATATAAAGAGGTATAAGCATAATTTTACTGTATGTATACGCTATCTATCCATTGAACCCGTGACGGGGTATACTGTATAAAAGGATCATCATGATGAGACCGTATGACTCGTCTCAGGGTATTTCTGAGAGCGCTAGGAACGATTATACAGTACTTGTCTAAACCGGAGTGTCATTCTAGCATTTTGACTTCATTGCTATACACTGACATACCGGCTGGTAGTTAGGGGAAGATACACATAGACGATAACGTACATATAACGTGTGTATGTTTTTTGTGTTATGATGCTGGCAGTTGGCGTGTGGAGTCAGCGCTCTAGTATTCTTATTGTAACTGCACATTCATACAATCTTAATACTGTACTGTTATGTGATTCATTTTATAATGATTCTGGGAACAAGGTCACATTTTTTTTGGTTATAATTAGTGGACGTTTTTCGATTTGGGGGGTGCGTACGCACCCAACGCACCCCCTGGATACGGACCTGAAAGTCAACGCAATTAGTGAAAATAATACATTAGGCCTAACCTGGCAACATTTATATATTTTAATAAATCCACTATCATGATTGACATCTGTTTTTTTTTCACATTAGGATTGAAAACTTGGATGGATGGATGGATGAATGAATGAGTGAGTGAATGAATGAATTCATTAATTAAGTAAAGAAAATAACAAATAAAAAAATAATGAAATAATTGAAGTACTGAAAAGAGAAATATACAAATAATGAAATGAAGATAAATCAAGAAATAATGGAAGTGAAGAAATGATTTAAATTAATAATAATGTATATGAGGAACCAATCCGATAAAGGGGAAAAAACATTCGATAAACATCACTGTAAAATATTATCGAATCGAAACAGCTTTCTTGAAATGAAGAATATTTTCAAACGGTTAAATTTATTAATGAATGTTTGTTTCATGCTTGAAACACGGTGAATATGTTGTTATAAGCTACTGTATCCGGATCTGCATGCTACTACAGAGTATTAGTACTGTTACACTCCATACGAACTTCCAGCCAATTCCGGAAGTTATTGCGACTCATTAACATATAACTGTTGTGTAGTCCTCTGCGTCATATTCCTGAAACCCGTCACCAATGCATGTGGCATAACAAATAAGTTCGATAGCTAAATTGGTGTTATTTGAATATTTATTTCATATTTCATCCCATTCTGTAATGGATTAAATATTTTGTAAACTTTTATAAAATATTTGGTTGTATAAGGGCAGATTATCTGGATTTGGTCATTTGAATTGATTTCAGAGATTATTTACTGTGATAAGGAAGGCTGATCACATCAGGGAATAATAATTATTTGCTTCCCACCGGAACTACTTTCTAATGCCTCTCGCATGTTGGCGGCCATTGCAGGCCTACGGATATTCAAAGCGAAAGATTATTGAAGTCTCATTCGCATAAATAGATCCTTATTGATAGGTGAGAGTACAACATTAAGTAATTGGAAACTACAAATAAAGGCAATGGCACAGTTGCCTATTCGCTTTCAGGAGCATCTACAGGTTGGTATTTTTATGATCGTTTTAGTTTAATTTAGAGTGCTTGCTCACAAGACCTGCCTCCCACCGGCGCACGGCTTGCACTGAGTGATACACGCCCTCCTATATAAATTATAATAGCGACCCTCTATTGTGAGGTGGCACCGGCCGGTGTCTGGACCTCATGTAAATCCCAGAAAAATATTGTCATTTTGTCCCGTGCACATACAAATTGTTATATAATATCTGGTCTAAGTTTAGGGTATACAAACGCCTTTTCATAAATATAATTTCATGACTAATCTTCAAAATATTCGATTGTGTAGGCTAGCCTAGCCTACCCATTGTCATGTGATTACAATATTTTGTGTTCCCTTTTTATTATTTTCTCTAGACAACTCTGAATTTATTTATTTTCCTATAATATCAGTAGCCTTACTAATATATGTTAACTGCTACATATTCCAAATGCATCGCCATTGTTTTTCTCTCAGTCTCAGTGAACATATTTTTTTTAAAAGCAATTACACTCATCATCATGATATTGTGACTGCTTCTTTTCTTCCATAAACCAACTGAAGTACGTTGCTAATGCTGCTGCCTGTGCCTACCTCTTGGAAACCACAGAGCAGAATAGGCCTACATTCCTTTGGAGTTTCAGCCTTTTGTGTTGCATGATTCAGGTCTATAAGAAAAACCTCCCTTTTCACAACATTGCTAACAAACTAGTTTTTAAAATGGCTGTGATATTATTTTTATCTGTTACATTGAGTAATTGATTAAACTTGTCAAGTAATTATTTAATTTGATTAAAAAGGGAGGCATTTAGATTAAACTATATACAGTAATATGTTTTTATATTTCATCATCTACATTTATTGACTGTCAATGTTTCTGGTTTGTCACTTTAAAAAATAAACAATAAAACTACTGTATATATTGCTGTACAAGTGTACAGGAAGAAGGATGTCAATTATTTCCTACTGTACCTAGAAACATTTAAATCAAGTCTATATAGTTTGTGTACTGATTGGCTTTTGTGATTTAATGTATAGTCGGAAGTCATTCTTGAATTATACAAACCAGATATCAATGGGTGGTGGGGACAGAAGGTCAAATTTGTTTTGTCTTTATAACACCGTTGTGGAATAAATAATTTAGCATCCAACATCTAATAATTAGTTTAATACATCCATTAATTGGGAGCAGTGTCTGTGTATGTTTTGTACCATTTAAACACTGAACATTTATTACTTTAAATAGTATTTTAAAGTCATTTAAAAATATAAATTATTATATATGAACTGTTAAGTGCATGCTTGTGTACTGTTTTTCTGTCCATGAAGATGATTGTACAACCAATTGGGATTAAAGGTGGTATGTACAGACCATGTAAACTGAGATAAAATTTGGAACTTTGATGCTTAAATAGTGTAAACCTCTGATATACCTTGTTGGCCTTTGCTGTTTATCATCATTTTATATACGGTTAGCAATCAGATACATGTCAGGCTTGACCTACTGTACAGAGGTACAGTATTTAAGCTGTCATTAGCCAAATAGCCTATCCAATGTCTGAATTTTGTTAAATATTGTCAGTGTTCTCCCGAAGCCGTTTTACCTGTCAATTTTACCAGTAAAAATAACTGACCAACCAGTAAAAATTGTGTGTTGGTAGAATAAAAAAGTACATTATTAGGCCTAGGTTGACTAGGCTGCCCTTCTTTCAATAAACAAACATCATTTCTTTCCAGGCCTAAGCTATGATTACGTATTATTGTTTTTTGAAGCCATTTAAATCCACTTAAAATTGGTAATATCTGAAGTTGTGTGCGCTTAGCTGGCTCTATATGGACAAATTTACCAGAAAAAATTTTTTAATTGGGAGAACACTGATTGTCATTCAAAATTAGCCAAAAAGCTAATGGAATTAAAGCTATCATTGCTTATATTCTTTTATTTTGGCTAATAAAATTTATATTTGGCTAATTATTTTCATACCAAATTACAGTAGCCAAATTGCTAATGTTTATTTTGACCAGCTTAACCCCTGGTAGTACATACAGTATACTGTGGTTTAATGATTAACTTTACTCTAAACATTAACACAGTTGGTCCATAAAATAGTCATTTATTGGGAATTAACAAAGATTTGTAATTAATTGAATGTCAATTGTCAAGGACAAAGTGATGCATTTGTCATGCACTGAGTCATGACTTATGTATAAATATTAAATTCTAATGTTCTATAATAGGCCTACTGTTATGTGAATGACCATGCCAAAGAGTACTGTACAAAAGATCTATTGGTTTTCTCTGAATTAAACGTTGATGCAAAATAATTAGTTGGTCATTGATAGGTATTGATTTCTGGCTTGGGCATCAGCACTTTAATGTTAATTAGTTTGGTTAATACTGTACCATTGGAAATATCTAAGGAATAATGGTGTTTATTTGTTTTATTAAAAAAAATGGAATGATGGACATAAAAAAAACCAATATTGATTTCATATTCTCAATTACATTTACAATTTAAATAAAACTCTGCTCTCTCTTGTCTGAATAAAATAAATGATTAAATAAAATAAATGTGTGTCTTGATGGCATTAATTGTCAATTATTAACTTCTATCTAATGCTTGTGTTACAATGATTACACTGTAGCTGTGTACAGGACAGAACACCAACGATAGCCATAGGTTGTCCAATTTTTGTTGTGGATCCATGTTTTTGATGAGTGTTAAGACTTTTAATGATAAAAACCGGGATTCCCCTTTTCTTGATTCATTGTTTAATTTGTCATACATTAATTATCCGATTGCAGCCAATGACTACGATAAATTATCTTCTTGCAATCTACACAGTTTCTTATAGTATGATAGTGAATCTACAGTAGTTGATAATGACACAGTACAAGTGTGAATCAAAGGGAAGTATTGCCAGTTATCGGGGCTTTACTACAAACCTTTTTTTTCCATCAGTTTTATTTTTAGAATCATTCTGTAAATTATGAATGAAATTATATCCTTGTATGAGACAAAAGTAGGTATATAGTAAAATGGGGTTTACTTACAGTATATACTGTAGTACATGTACTGTACATATGACTGATTGTCCTGTATCCTTGGCTACTGTAACGTGTTATTACAATGCAGTTGTACAGTAGGAATCACAATACACATCTCATTTTATCCCTATTACTATAAGTCCAAAGGCCTTGCACATTTGGCATTATTAAATAATTGCAAGAATATTCAAAAATATAGGACATTCATACACTGATGTATGTGCTTTAATGTTGCAAAAATGAAATGTATTCTGTTTTACATTTCCGCTATAAATTAGGAAGGGATAAAATATTACTCTCTCAGCATGCCACATGCTCTCTTCGTTAAAAATGTTAATTCTGGCTTTAGAGAACTAAGCTGTTAAAAAAATTATTTGGCTGTGCAGTTAGTTAAATGAATAATAAAAATTACAGGCTTTTAAGAGTGTACTGTAAACCCTGTACTCTAATCCTTAACTGATTTAGGAACCAGCTGGCAAATCATTGCACTGGGATCAAGTCATGTGATTGTGACTTGTGTAGATGTCATGATGTGACTTGTTGATGTCATAATGGATAATTACAGTACTTTACTGTATAATAATTTCATTGATCATTAAAGCTAAATTGCAGACTGTTTCAGAACCTTTTGAGTTTAAACTACAGTAGAATTGCAAAACAGAAAAGGAAGGAAGTACAGTAATTAGTTTTACTTAGCATGGAGGTAGTAGTAGCAGTAGAGATTCTTTGTGGGAGTCCATTGAGTAAACAAGAATGTGAAGTTCTCATTGATTTTGTGCATCAGTTGAAATTTATTCTCATTGGTATTTTGAATTTTTCCCTACTTTTTTTGGTTGTTGTCAGTGTCATAATGTGTATTGTATATAACATATACAGTATGTGAACTTGCAAAGTTTATATTGACTCTATTGTGAACTGGTTGATGTATTTTTCTATTTCGAGTATGGTTATATGCATTGTTTGTATATGAAAATAAGATAGGCCTACTGAACTGACCTGCTGTAGATTTTAAGATGATACACAATTACATATGAAATTCTATTTTAATTAACATGTTTTAAGTAAGCATTTATTTTCATTTCACAGCTCCAAAATGTGGGCATCAATGCGGCAAACATTGGGTTTAGTACGCTTACGATGGAGTCGGACAAGTATATCTGCATACGGGAGAAGGTGGGCGAGCAGGCACAGGTTGTCATCATTGACTTGGCCGATTCGTCAAATCCGATCCGACGTCCCATTTCAGCTGATTCTGCTGTTATGAATCCTGCTAGTAAAGTTATTGCTTTGAAAGGTAATTTATCATTGCATATGCGAAGTAGATAGTAATCCTCATCACCATTAATTTGTTTATTGTCATTAAGTTACAGTATGTGAACTTGCAAAGTTTATATTGACTCTATTGTGAACTGGTTGATGTATTTTTCTATTTCGAGTATGGTTATATGCATTGTTTGTATATGAAAATAAGATAGGCCTACTGAACTGACCTGCTGTAGATTTTAAGATGATACACAATTACATATGAAATTCTATTTTAATTAACATGTTTTAAGTAAGCATTTATTTTCATTTCACAGCTCCAAAATGTGGGCATCAATGCGGCAAACATTGGGTTTAGTACGCTTACGATGGAGTCGGACAAGTATATCTGCATACGGGAGAAGGTGGGCGAGCAGGCACAGGTTGTCATCATTGACTTGGCCGATTCGTCCAATCCGATCCGACGTCCCATTTCAGCTGATTCCGCTGTTATGAATCCTGCTAGTAAAGTTATTGCTTTAAAAGGTAATTTATCATTGCATATGCGAAGTAGATAGTAATCCTCATCACCATTAATTTGTTTATTGTCATTAAGTTATTATTTTATCAACATTGTTTTTATTTTTGGTAGTCTCGTCAGAATCATCATTGTTTTTGTGTTTTGATTATCACCGTCCTCATTATTTTTATATTGTCAATGTTTGCATTTTATTTATGTTTTGCATTTTTTAATATAAGTATTGTCATTAATTTTGTGTTTTTCTCTTCATTTTTTTTTTTTTTGGTAATCATTCTTGTATATACAGTTACATCTACTGTTGAGAACATTACTGAAATGTATAAATAATGTCAATTTTTTTATATACCTTTTTGCAACATAATTTTTTTAAAATCATTTTAATGCAACTGTTGTAAATATACTCACATTCAGAAAAAAAAATCAAACTACAGTATATCAACGATGTACAGTATAAAAAAATGTATACGATAATACTGCAATAGTGGTAGTAAAGTCCACAGTTTGGACTGTACTGTTTAATATAATTTTTTTGTACGTGTTCCCTGATATGCAAAATACTGTGTGCACCTTCAACAAACCAGAAATATTCCAATTACAGATATGTGGATGCATCAAACACTAAAATTGATTTGCAAGCATCTTAATTCCTCTCAGGACAGAATGCTGTCTTTCGTGGCTACAGCATACAGCTTTTGTACTACAATGTTAATGTGCAACATATCATTAGTGTTGAGAATTGGTGACTCTTTTAGCACGATCAGAACATGCACGGCTCAAAGGCTGATGTAGAAACATCTGTCAAGAGGTGTAAAAAAAAATGCTGATTAGCACAGTAAAAGGCAGAAATCTTAGCAAAAGTGGGTGTGCTCAGGATAACATAATGTCTAGACATTACTGTAAAACATTGTCTAGTCAAGTCTGTCCAATAATTTTTTTTCATAATGCTTTTATCATTATGGTGACCTTTTTTTTGTAAGATTACCCATAGTAATTATACACATGTTTGTTGATGGTATTTTTATAGGTAATAAAATTTAACAATTGGCAATCAAATCGGTAATGATAAATAATGAAAATCACAATACAAATAATTTCAATTGCCAGATAATGCCATTAATCTAATTATAATTGAACTCCTAATATACTACTGTATACAGTTAATTAAGATAAGATACTCTTTATTGGTGTATTTACATATAACAATACATAAACAGAAATTTTCATTGAATCTGGCATAAACAATTAGAAAATATCACCAAACAGATCAATATTACACTAAACAAACATCAAATTACAATATGCCACTACAGTTTCTATCTAATTTTTTTATCTTCTTAGGTATATTGCAGTAACAGTTTTTTTGTTTGTTACAAATTTGCCCCTCTGCAAATTTGCTTACTGTTCTTTATAAATTTGACTTTACCTCCCGGTAGTATTATTTAACTTTTTGTATTCTCTAAGGTAAATGCAATAATAATTTAATTACTCTATTTATTGATTGGTGGTTAAAATAAAGTTAATAAATTTAATAAACCATATAAACAATAATTACCTTATTGTACGTAATGCCATTATTGTAAATCTCTGTGGACTATTTGTTTTCTGTTAAGTGACCGCCCACTATAAAAGCAACACACCCTGGAATTACTTATTTTTGTTGGCAATTTCACTTTACCAGATATACTGAAAAAGTGGTCTATGACACAATGCAGTTGAATAGACACAAATTGTCTTTGTTGTTGTCATTTCTTTGAGTTTGTTTTTGAATTTTATGGACTTATAAATATATAATATATTTTTTTAATATATAATATATTTTTTTTGTAACTCGTATTCTGTTGATTGAATATAAATAATAACAATGTTATAAATGATAATAAAAAATATAATAATATAGTGATGTGTACATTTTTATAGTGGTATGGTGCCTAGTAGGTAGTATTGGTAGTTAATACTATGCATTATATTTTTCTGCAGCTGGTAAGACACTTCAGATTTTCAACATCGAGATGAAGAGCAAAATGAAAGCGCACACCATGACGGATGATGTCACATTCTGGAAGTGGATCAATGTGAACACCATTGGTATGGTAACAGACACCGCTGTGTACCATTGGGGCATGGAAGGCGACTCGCAGCCGGTCAAGATGTTTGACAGACACTCCAGTCTAGCTGGCTGTCAGATTATTAACTATAGAACCAATCATAACCTCAAGTGGCTCTTGCTTATTGGCATATCTGCACAGGTGTGTTGTTGATTTTTTAAATATTTATAGTATTTTTAGCTCTGATGAAAAGCTCTAGAAACACTCGGCTGATTGATTAATAGATCTTTTTGGTATGGGTGGCCGTTAGGGCCAATAAACTGTACTGATTCTATTGTACTGCCCTCATCAGAGCTTTCGAGATTACGAGAAAGATTGATTGATAATAGATCTCTTTTGTGTGGACGGCCGTTAGTGCCAATGTACTCTACTGCCTCTATTATACTGCCCTCATCAGAGCTTTTGAGATTACGAGAACTTGTTTTTTAACCATTAATTTATAGCGGGTGACCCTTCCCATGTATCATAAGTGTGGCTGATATTCAGGGGCCCTCTTAAATAAATAAAATAATGTGATCTTTTTTATCGCGCCTAGGGAGTGGAGTTGTTTTTAGTTGTGAGAAAAAGTCCTGCTTTCAAAGGAGTTGAACCTAGGACCCTGGGATTATAAGGCAAGATTTTTGGTGGAGGGAGGAATGAAAATAAAAATAAAATTTTGTTTTATTTAGCAAGTGGTTTTGCCAAAATCATCCAGATAGAGGAGAAAGTGAAAATAGAATTTTATTGGTGAATGTAAAATAGGATGGTTAAATGCTTCAAATTTATATAAGTAGGAAGAAATATACATATCTTATCTTTGAAGATTTCAAGACAGCGGAGGATGATTTTATTTTTTTCTGAAATTTCCACTATTTCGTGGCGACGGGTGCACTAATTGGCCAAAAATAAAATTTTATTTTTATTTGAAATCATCAATATTTGCAGTCGGCGAGTTCACTAAACAAGGTATAAAAAAAGATGACGCATTAAAAATATAAATACAATTTTAAAGAGAATAAACACAGTACTGGCCAGTATTATTGCAAATTTTAAACGCGTTCAACCCGTTGCGTTTTCGCAAAAACACGTTGACGCTATTGTTGACAACGCGTTGTCGTTGAAAACTCGGAAATTGTTTATTCATATTCATAATTTAATGTGAAGTGTTGTATTAACAGTTTGTAAGTAAACAGGCACTTACAAAATAGACGTTTGTTTATTACGAACTTACATTGTAGTAAAGAAATAAGGTGATTAATACAAGAACTTTTACGGTCGGCAGTTGGATTGGGACCTGGTGGTTAATCATCCACATTACCGTCTTTTCTTTTGTCACATTTTTCATATGTTGTAAAACCATAACCCAAGAATTTCTTATCGTAATGGAAAACCATTTTGTCGTCGTTAACAAATGAAAAGTTGGGTACGAATATATATCTAATTAGCCAAATATGTTTTAGTTGCTCACGGTGGAGCGATAAAAGTCCATCTTACGGCTGTGATGCGGTCGCATGCAGAGCACCTGTTGAGCATGGAGGCTAGTGTTCAGTGTAAGTTGCATCATTGTGTCTCACTACCACCCAGTGGCTCGGTTTACTGCTATGCTTGAAAATGAGTGCAGATAACACTAACAACTCAGTCAGCAATTCTACTATAGTTAATTAAATATTGATATAGTATATATATATTTATACTAATATTGTCCACACAGTTAAAAAATTAAAACTGTTTTGTTGTAATCTGAACGATGGATGCAACTAGGGCCATCCTTGTCGATCCAGGGACCAGGTATCTGTGTGTTGTTGTTGACGACATGCACCGGCACTGTATTTTTCATAATCATAGGCCGATTGGCATACGGACGGTGCCTCTTACTGTATAGTAATAATAATAATATAGCCTAGGCGATCTAGGCTACATTCGGCATCGTTAAAAGTTGTAAACTAGGCCTAAGCCTAGTCATATCCTCTCCAGCCTAGGCCAATAATAAATGTTGGGAGATTCCTACTGCTAAATAAATTGATGTTGTTTATTGATAATCATTGTAACGCATCGCTACTGTAGATAGGTTAGGTTGTTGAATTAACTATCAACAACAAATGACACATGAACACGGCTTCGTTGAATAAACAATGAACTTTCAACGCAACACGAACATATCGCAACGACAACAGGTAAAATGCATTGTGATTTTTGCAATAATACTGGCCAGTACTATATGTAAATCATTAGAAACTTCATCATAATTCATATCACATATTCCATATAATACAGTAAAAAAAATTGTCTTGGAATATATCACGTTTCTGGTAATTGACATTTAGCCAAGAGAGAAACATTACTAGAAAGAAAAGAAAGGTACTAGAGTACCTTTTCCATTATAAAGCTACCTCGATAGAATATTATAAAAGTTGCTGATTTATTACTGAAAATCTAGGACTGAAGTCAAACTGAAAGCATTATATGATTACTAATTTTATGGCATGTAAATTCCTTCTACTTTTTGTTGTGTTTTAGTCATTCCTAGAGATCTGGTTACTTTTTGTTTACATAAGCATCTGCCAATGGATTTATAATAGAGATATAATATACTTGAACTGGAAGTACATTATTAATAAGTAATAAATTTGATTTGTTCATTTGATAAAATTGAATAAATAATAAGTTATAAAAAGGTACTGAGATGGATTTTACCATCCAAAATTATTAATAGAGTACAGACTATAATGGTTTATTATTATTATTATTATTATTACAGTAGTTTTGAAAATAATTAATTTTTGGCCTGTCTTGTAAAAATTTAAATTCAGTTTTAAAAAGAATATTCATATATTGTTTCCATTCCAGGCTAGTCGAATACAAAGAGATATTTTTCTTTCTTATTATAGTTCAGGCAGACAGCGATAGAAAGCGATATTAATGATATAAAATTAATAACAGCTTCTGCCACAGCACGGAAGAGACAAAATAGCCAAAGCTAATAGCAAATGTCTTTTGTTTTGGATAAATTATTTTTTCTTTGGTTTCATCTAATGCCATTTTTGTACACTACACTATATAAAGATACAACTAACAACCATCATGTCATAAAGCTTCAGAATTTATACTACTCATATTACACCCAAATTGCTTGCAAATGCATTTTAAGATATTTCTGAACTACTGTACCAATAAAAAAAAACCCTATTTTTGGAAATGAATGGAAAAAATTCCAAATAACTATCAGTATGATGAGTAACATAATTGTGGGGAAAAAACCCTAATTCCAATGTGCTGGTAGTTATATAGAATAGGGCTTAAACTTGGTAGATTCAGTACGATGCTTGTCTTACTATGCAAGAGTTTCAAGTTCAAATCCTATGGGGCACCAGCATTTTTATCACAACTAACTTAGTTGTGATAAAAATCATGGTATTGTTGGAATTGAAACCAGAATCATGAGATTGGAAGGCAGGTATCTTGTAGGTCTTATGAAAATTCTTACTACATTGTTCCATCCTCTAATTCAGCATTCTGCAAATTTTTCTTTACGGCCTACTTGAGATTCTGGGCACCAAGCCAAGTTATGATCACGAAAATAACCTCCATGTTCTTATGATGTACTGTACAGTAATTTGACTCATTATCTGTTCCATTAGTGTCAAAATTTTCGTATAAACTGCGTATTTGCACAATGAAACAGTTTTGCAAAATCAAATCTTTCATTTTTTTCTCCTGGGCAACAATAAGTATGAAATGAAAGTGTATCTATGTATTTTTGTTTTTTGCTGCAAAGCAGCCAATTCATATTCTTGACTGCAATTTGACCCCTGAAAGGTCATTGTTTGTCAAAAAACAAGGGCCTAACACGACTGAAAAATGGAGTTTCCTTCTTTCGTTCTGCCGGGTAAAATCAATTACTTTAGGCGACGTTTGTAGACTAAACAACACGTACCAACGTCCGCATGTCGCGCTAACTTTATCCTACTCTAGGCCTAAACTAGCTACTGTGGGATGGTATAGGCCTAGCCTTGAAGGGACGAAGGTCCCAATGAAAAACAACGTCGCTCCTTGATAGCTAACATTGTCTATTTAACATCACAATAATTCATTATTAGACCTATAGTTGTTTTTTGAATTGTACTCCACAAATCTCAGCCGATACCTCGCACAACTCAAGCAACGTCTCGTATCTATTGCCTTGACGTCATGGCTCGCTGGCTCACACTTGCGATGTCTCGCACTTGTGATCAAATAACACGCTGGCTCGCACTTTGGCAACACTCTTTGGCAGTCAACTCGCCCCTAAAAAATCCTCGCCCCTAAAAAATGTACACTTCCTAGACCATGCAGTCTACAAAATAAAAATTGTAACCTTTGGTAATCAACTACATTTTCCACATACATAGAAATCTTTGAAACTTTGTTAAAAAAAACCTAAACCATAATTCACCACTATAGACACTTTTTGACAAAAATGAAAAATTACGACTTCGTTACCCAATGAGCAGTGTTCTAATATAGACAATGGGTCGTGTCTAATATTATTTGTTATATTTTTATTATTCCTTATTTTCACTTGACTCGCATAAATAATTTTGTTCGAAGAACATTTATATGCAGTTGTACTTCGCAGCACTTCACTTGCAATTTGCAATTTCTGGTTGATAATTAATATAATTCATGTTGCTAGTGTCAGTTAAGGATGATAAAACGTTTATAAAATTATGGGATTCCTCCCCCCCTTTTTTTTTTTTTAGCAAAACAGAGTTGTAGGAGCCATGCAGCTGTATTCATCTGAACGTAAAGTCAGTCAGCCAATAGAAGGTCACGCTGGTTGCTTTGCCGAGTTCAAATGTGAGGGAAATGCTGAGCCCTCCACTCTCTTCTCATTCGCTGTACGAGGGGCTGCTGGTGCCAAGGTAAGTACTTGCATTAGCATAAAGTTAATTACTGGTACTGGTCTGTGTAACCGTCAGATTACATACGATTGTCATTGACTGTAAATAGTTTATGCTTGCAGACACTGCAAGTTAATGGTTAACAACCTGACAATGCGTCCAAACTCAAGAGTCGCAAATCACAATAAATATACTATACCAAAAAAAATGAAAATGAAAAAGATATTTCAATTTCTTTTAGCGAAAGCCATTTCAAGAAACATTTATAAATTATGTGCTGCTCGTAGTTGGCCATGTTTTTTTTTTCCTTGACAATTTATTTTGTCTTACAGTTGCATATCATTGAAGTAGGAACAGCCCCACAAGGCAACAAGCCATTTCAGAAGAAAGCTGTAGACGTGTTCTTTCCACCAGAAGCACAAAATGATTTCCCCGTTGCAATGCAGGTAAAGAATATTATTACGAGTACTGTATGCACAGTATTTTAACTAAACAATTTTTCTTTTAAGTAATAAAATCTTAAGTTGAGCGTAATTCATCTTACCAACCAGGAATAATGCATAGTGCAGTTTTGAGGTTACAACCAATATATTTAAACTGTAACAACTGTTCATTTTTTAAGATTACAAGAAATAGTTTCATTTTTATTTTTTGTATAATAACGGAAAGTAAACATAAACAAATATATGACAATATACATAAAATATAATAACAATTTACATATCATAAAGTTCAAATAGTTTACTATTTGAAATACACTTTTGATTTCAGGTGAGCAGTAAACATGATGTCATCTACTTGATCACAAAGTACGGATACATCCACTTGTATGACTTAGAAACTGGTACTTGTATCTACATGAACCGAATCAGCGGTGAAACAATCTTCGTCACCGCCCCTCATGAGCCAACCTCCGGTATCATTGGCGTCAACAGGAAAGGCCAGGTGCTGTCGGTCTGTGTGGAAGAGGACAATATTGTACCGTATATCACGAACACATTGCAGAATGCCGAGCTGGCTTTACGCATGGCTGTACGTAACAACCTTGGTGGCGCTGATGAGCTGTTTGTCCGTAGATTCAACACCCTCTTTGCTCAGGGCAAGTTTTCGGATGCTGCCAAAGTTGCCGCCAATGCACCCAAGGTACGTTATTTACTTGTGATTTTTTTTTTTTTTTATCTCTGATTATTATATGATAAATAATGGATTTAAAACAAAACAAATCAAAAGAAGAACATTTATAAATTGATTAAAATTTGATCATTTGTTTTTTTGCAGGGAATATTGAGAACTCCTCAGACTATTCAACGATTCCAGCAGGTACCAGCCCAACCAGGTCAGACATCGCCACTTCTGCAATACTTTGGCATCTTGCTGGACCAAGGCCAGCTAAACAAGTTTGAATCACTTGAACTGTGCAGACCTGTGCTCCAGCAAGGGCGTAAACAACTCCTTGAAAAATGGCTTAAAGAGGATAAGGTATATAATAATATATAATATTTTGTATTAGCCAATTTTCAGTAGGAAATATTTGGCACCAACTAAAGGAAGTTGGCAGTCAGACTTCAAATGTGAATTAAAATGCATCGTATAAAAAGTATAAACCATAAAATTGTTGCTATCTAAACTTTGAAAATGATTTCTATGCTGGGAAACTAGCCATCACCGCATCGTACACCTGCAATTTAAGGCATGTTGCAAACATTGTTTTTGTAACAATTTTTCTTGAATTGTTTATTTGCTTTTATTATAGCTTTGTATTTATGAACGCTTTCAAGTTTCTCATATCTTCTCATTAAATAATGATGTATGTTATGAAATCATAAAACATGCATAGATTACCATCTGTGTAATTGCCTATAATCCATTGAATGACATTTAAATGGTTGTGCTTGAGTGATCAGATGAAATTAGTATCAATTGTGTGCTGATGAATTGTTATTGATTTCAGTTGGAATGCAGTGAGGAACTTGGAGATTTGGTGAAGACTGGTGATCCTACACTTGCGTTGTCTGTCTACCTGAGAGCTAATGTTCCCAACAAAGTGAGTAATATGAACCTATTAATAATGCTCTTCCATTAAATAATCGGTCAATGATATGTGTAGAACCAAGTACAAACCAAGTGACCATGTTATTGTCTTTTAATTTTTGAAAGTTTAGTGGTACTGACCAAAATTGTTCCACAATTGGTCATTTTATATTTGAAAACATTTTAAAGCCTATCTAAGTACAACTGACACTGTTGGACAGAATGCCAATTTGCATTTTAGAATAGAATAATGGTATGGTATGGATATATTCTGTTTAAATACCAAGGATAACCCACAAAAGTCTGAAGAAGACTGATTTCCATTGGATCCTTCTGGTGGTGATTGGGCAGTACACTGGGAGACAATCCCCAACTCTTTTCCCAAAAGTGTACAGTATTCTTGAACATGCACATGGGCCACAATGCACGCGGGACCAACGGCTTAAACAACTCATCCGAAAGACTGCGCTACCGTAACTTGCGTTTTAGCCCTCCAGCCGAAATACAAGGAATGGGAATTTGAACCAGGGACCAAGAGATCTCTACAGTTCAGCGCACACACAGTGGCTAACCTAGTTTAGCCGACGAAGCTAAGCTCCTCTCGTGTTGTAGTTTTAAAAATTCAGCAAGTCTCATTAGTCATGAATACAACTATGGAAGATACAAAAGATGAGACATAATTAATTACCCATAAATCTTTATATTTTTTTAGGTGATCCAATGTTTTGCCGAGACTGGTCAGTTCCAAAAGATCGTATTATATGCCAAGAAAGTTGGCTTCACTCCGGATTACATCTTCCTGCTTCGTCAAGTGATGCGCGTCAATCCAGAGCAGGGCGTCCAATTTGGACAGATGCTGGTCCAAGATGAGGAACCATTGGCTGATCTCAATCAAGTAAGTATATGAAGCAATTTTCTTTTTCCATTGGGTTCTTCGAACAAACACATTTTTTGTTTAATTTAACCATGAGATATACCGTACACATACACCATGCTCAACATAGTGAGGCTTAGAAAGTAGTGTTTTTTGATGTGTGAGAAAATTCTGTTACTATAACAGGAATCGAATACTTATAGTTATCATCACTGTTCATTATCATCGTCACCAGCATCATTGACAGTTTTTTATTCTGACATATACAATAAAATTACTACACAAAATTTTTTGTCAGGAAGCCTTAAAATATGGAGGTTATAGAAGATGATAATATAACATAAATATAGGTAGTGATAGGTGTATTGATTTTAACCAATGGTAGTCTTCAGTGATTCTATTTTTTTTTTCCTTTAGATCGTTGATGTTTTCATGGAGCAGAACCTGATCCAGCAGTGTACCTCATTCCTCTTGGATGCCCTCAAGAACAATCGCCCCTCAGAGGGTCACCTTCAGACTAGGCTACTAGAGATGAATCTAATGTCTGCCCCTCAGGTCGCTGATGCTATTTTAGGAAATCAGATGTTTACTCACTATGATCGGGCCCATGTGGCTCAGCTATGTGAGAAAGCTGGACTTTTGCAAAGGGTATGTTTACATTCTACATTTTAATATAACAGTACTTTTGACTGGCCAAAACTTGGTTCCAAGAAAATTTGATGATGGTAATAATGGTATGTGTAATATTATAATAGTAGAATGTATCTTATTCTACTGGTTGATTCATTTTCTAGGGGTGTGTACAAGATTTTTATTCTGTTTTTTGCTTTTAGTTTTAGTTGAGTCTGAAACTAATGTATGTATGTATGTTCATTTTCTTATAAAATGTTATTTTTGTGCAATCCTGAAACCTACGAGAGAAGGGTACTGAAATGGTCCTCAGCGCTAAGAACATTAAAGGAAAACTAAATGATGAAGAACCAAAAGAAAAAATAATATATACCAATAAATAATAAATTAATTCACATTGTAATTACAGGCTCTTGAACATTACACCGATCTGTATGACATTAAACGTGCTGTTGTACATACTCATCTGTTGAATCCTGAATGGTTGGTCAACTACTTCGGTTCGCTGTCGGTTGAGGACTCGATTGAATGCTTAAAGGCCATGCTGACGGCCAACATCCGTCAGAATCTCCAGATCTGTGTGCAAGTGGCTACCAAATACCACGAGCAGCTCGGAACAAACTCCCTCATCGACCTGTTTGAGTCATTCAAGAGCTTTGAGGGTCTGTTTTACTTTTTGGGATCTATTGTCAACTTCAGCCAAGAAGCCGATGTCCATTTGAAGTACATTCAGGTACCAACCAGCTTTTTAAAATTTTGTATTTTTTCAATCTTCCTGGGGATTTAGCAGATCATACTTTGCTCTTCTTTTCAATTTGTGTTTTGAAAATCTCCTAGAATGACTGGTCTGATAGACAAGTGCTGGGCCATGCAATGACCTAATGCTTCGCTTCTCACCATACAATATTACCATTAATTGCTTTCTACCTTCCTAACTAGGCCATCTCAATAACAAAAATTATAATAGAATCAGAATGTATATTACCACATACAGAATGTTATAAAGATTATGTACAATCATACATCCACTAGCATAAGTTAATGTGTTGTTATATATCATAAAAATTTTTTATGTGCATATGTAAAATATTTATTGTAATTTTCTATCACAGTCTGCATGCAAAACTGGCCAGATAAAGGAAGTAGAACGCATTTGTCGCGAGAGCAACTGCTATGACCCAGAACGCGTCAAGAATTTCCTGAAAGAAGCTAAACTGACAGATCAGCTGCCATTGATCATCGTCTGCGATCGATTTGACTTTGTCCACGACCTTGTCCTTTATCTATACCACAACAATCTACAAAAATACATTGAAATTTATGTACAAAAGGTAAGAATATTTTCATTTCACCCATATTCTTGAATGTGTTTTTAAGATGTCAAAATGATTCTCTATTTCAAAGATAAATTATTCCCTGAAAGTTGCATAAGAATCTTTACCGAAAATAAATTTTAAAATAAACTTGCTCATTTTGCAGTAACATACATAAGCGTTAAAATCAGCGAATTTTTAAGATGTGTACCCTGATTTTAATATTGGATAATTATAAAAATAAAAACACTTCCATTGACTTAGTGTTTCTATCATTAGATATGGGTAAACATGTTTTAAATACTTATTTTTATGTTCATGTTTATATTTACTACAAAATAAATAAGTTAATTTAAAAAATGAATTTTTTTTTTTTTTTTTTTTTTTTTTTTTTTCATGGGACAATACATCTTTGAGTGGTTGAATCCATGCTGTTAACAATCATGTAGTTAAATTCATCCTCTTTCTAAATGTTATTTGAGTACTAATTTTGTTCCTTTTGTTATTAGGTAAATCCATCTCGTTTACCTGTTGTCATTGGCGGCTTGTTAGATGTAGACTGCGCAGAAGATATCATAAAGAGTTTGATTATGGTGGTGCGAGGGCAGTTCTCAACCGACGAACTTGTGGAAGAAGTTGAAAAGCGGAACAGGTAGAGAACTTGCAAATTATCCTAATATTTTAAGTTAATACTATGTGGAGATTTAGCAGATCATACTTTGCTTTTCTGTTCAATTTGTGTTTTGAAAATCTCCTAAAACAACTGGTCTGATAGACAAGTGCTGGGCCATGCAATGACCTAATGCTTCGCTTCTACCCAAACACATTTTCTTGTGTCCATATCATTTTCATTTTGCCAATTTTTGACTAAACAAAAAAAAATCAATTGGACAAATGCAAACTTGCTCGTGAAACAATACAGAAGTAAAGAGATCAAAGTTAAGTTGGCAAGGACTGGCATATTGAGCTTTGGCATTCATTCCACAAACAAATTAAAAATTAAAGGCATATTAAGGACTTGGCACTATGCACCATGCAAAACTGAAATTATTAATGTTATTAGTAGAGATCTAAAGAATTGTGTATTAATCCTATTCATCAGCTTAACACTGAGTGTGCATACACAAAGTTGCATTGCAGTGTTTTTTAACATTTTGTGTTGTTTTACAATTTGTTTTTGTTTTTGTGAATCCACTATGAAAAACCATTTTGTTTTCTTTCAGACTTAAACTTCTCCTACCATGGCTGGAGACACGCATTCATGAAGGCAGTGTAGAGCCAGCAACTCACAATGCCTTGGCCAAGATCTACATTGACAGTAACAATAATCCAGAAAGATTTTTAAAGTAAGTTAACATAAATGGATGTCATCATTGGGATTTTTAGTGACTATAGTGCCAAAAAAAAACATGATGATAAATAGTGGTATGACTGTTGCTAAACAAGTAGATAAGTTGTAGATAAGAAGTTGAATAAGGTTTTGTTTATATTTAAATTATATAAATTGTACTGTAATATTAAAGTTGTGGTTTATGTAAATCTGCCTGTTTTTCACAAAAATAAAGTCTGTGAAAATAGTTCTGGTAAAATCAGTTATTAGGACTGGTTATGTATTTAGTTTACTCTTTAAAGTTGATAACTATTTATTATTTTTCATGACAATCATACATATTTTATACATTCAGAGAGAATCAACATTATGATAGTCGAGTTGTTGGTAGATACTGCGAGAAACGCGATCCTCATTTGGCATGTGTAGCATATGAGCGTGGCCAGTGTGACATGGAACTCATCAAAGTATGTAACGAGAATTCCCTGTTCAAAAGCGAGAGTCGTTATCTTGTACACAGACGAGACCTGGAACTGTGGGCTGAAGTTTTGAACCCAGAAAACCAATACCGACGGCAGTTAATTGATCAGGTATTTGGAAGAATTTCATCTAGTCTTTAATAGTTGATTTGATATAATGTTGCTTGTTTAATATATAGACTAAAGATTTGAGGTTTGCATATAACAGTTTTGGCCAATAACAGGTACTGTCATCTTTTATTAAACTCACAAATCAATGAAATGCAGTTTTTTATCTTTAATATTATAAGTATTATTAATTCATTAATGATGATATCTACTTTATATGATTCATGATAAATGTAGATGAAAATCTATTCCTTAGTTATTAAGGATGGCTTAACTTACTGGATAACTTGAATATTGCCTTCTCTTGCAAGAATGCATTTGACACATCCAAACCTTCCACATACCCACTTGTACACTTCTAGATGGAGATATATAGACAATGTGTCTATTCAAAAACTTTATGCTGTAAATCTAAACCTACTACATGCATTATAATCTATGTTTCAACAAATTAACACTACTGATATTGCTTGACAGGTGGTTCAGACGGCTCTGTCAGAGACTCAAGATCCTGATGACATCAGTGTGACAGTGAAAGCTTTCATGACCGCAGACTTGCCAAATGAGCTCATCGAACTCCTAGAAAAAATAGTACTGGAGAACTCGGTCTTCAGTGACCATAGGTAACTGTCTTAGATTATTTCTGGTTTATCGTATTGACTACTACTAAATCCTTTCCGAGCCACTTAGGCTCATAGGGCTGGAGCTTATGCCCAGTTCCTGTAGTGTGAAGCAGATGAGAGTTGTACTCCCCCTGGACGGGACACTAGTCCATCGCAGGTTAGTCCCCAGCAGATTGCTGGTACCCATTGATACAGCTGGGTGGACTGAAGCAATGTAGCTAAACTGTCTTGCCCAAGGACACAAGCGAATCTGCACAGCGGAGACTCGAAACCCCAACCTTACGATTGAAATTCCGAACCTAAACCGCTGCGCCAAACTGCCGCTATCGTATTGAGTTATTATATTAAAACATTATAATTGCTTATAACTCCCGCGGTTAATTGATTTCTTTTCATTACTTTCCTGAACATAATTTTCAATGTCATTGTTCTTTGAAAGGAATGTTGAACCATTGCTCCCACTATAAATGGCTCTATGCATAAATAGCTAAGTAATTTATCTGGAAAAGTATAGTAATATTTTCCTATGTACTCACCAATTAACTTCCTGTATGTGTGTAGGTATATCCCTTTTTATTGAGTGGATTTGCTAAATTGGATGGAGGTTAAATCGTACATTATTATTACCTTTACTTAATTATGTCAAGCCTTAAACCTTCTTATTTTGGCAACATCAAATTATATTAAAAAAATTATACATAAATTCTAAATCTAACAAGAATAATACATATAATAATATAAATATTATATACAAATAGCACTTTGAATTTATGTATAGAGGTTAAATGGTACACCAAAAATATCTCCCAGTGTGCTTCCTATTCACTTCTGTTGTAAAAGAACGTGTTTGACTGGATTGCCACTCAATATTAGCCATCCTTGGTGTTAATTGCCATCTGTGAATACTCATACAAGGTTTAGTTGAAGGCATCATTCAAAATATCCTCGTAGACTGTACATGGATTTCTATTGTAAGTAACATAAGCTGGGAACCATCTCAAATCCTTGGAAAAGGTATCTGTCTATATTAATATGATTGGGGATAACTCATACTTGCATTGTCAAAAAATTAACCATCGCAGTTTATGTGGTTATTTCACCCTTAGTTGGTGGGTTTCTTTGATTATATTTAGAAAAATATTGTCATTAATATTGTTTAAGTTCTCACCATTTGTTATGTTTTATTTGCCTGTAGAAATCTCCAAAATCTGTTGATATTAACAGCAATTAAGGCAGATCGTACCCGTGTTATGGAGTACATTAATCGCCTTGACAACTACGATGCACCAGACATCGCAAATATTGCCATAGGCAGTGAACTCTATGAAGAAGCCTTTGCTATATTTAAGAAATTTGAAGTTAACACATCAGCTATACAGGTAATTCAAAAAATAACAGTGAATACTTGAAGTGGCGGCACCAGCGGGGAGGTAGGGGGCTTAAGGCCCCCCTATCAGTTTGGTCAAACCCCCCCCCCTTTCCCAATCGGCCAAAGCTCATCGGGCAGTCGGACCAACATAGGCCTAGTTTTCCCATCCCAGCCATTTCAGGCCATCTAGAAGTCCCAATTTAAAAAAAAAAATTTTTTTTGGAGGAGGGGACACTCCACTCCCATACCCACCTCCGGCTCGGGCCTTTGGCTCTCAGATAATGCTGCGCACTATAGTTACACCCATAAATACTTGGGGGGCGGCCCCCTCCCCCATAAATTATATTCTAGAGCTGCCACTGAATACATGATTTTTTTTATGTGTAATTTCAAGCTACTTTGTGAATAAAATTAGTAAGTAGTATAGAAGTGAATTGTACTTGAGTAGACGAAGAACTATGAAATATTCCGAAAGCTCTGTCCACACTATCAAATTTCTTTTGATAGAAAACTGTTGTATGCCCATATATAGTCATGATGTGCCTATATATGGTCATGATGTGATGTCATCATGACCATATTTAGGCATGTCACATGTTTTTGTCAAATGAAATTTGATAGTCTGGACAGGGCCTAAGATTATGTAATTTATTTACTTGTTAGGTACTCATTGAGCATGTCAATAACTTGGACAGAGCCTACGAGTTTGCCGAACGATGCAACGAGAATGCAGTGTGGAGTCAATTAGCCCGCGCTCAGCTGAACGCAGGCATGGTAAAAGAGGCTGTCGACTCGTACATCAAGGCTGATGATCCATCTACCTACACCGAGGTTGTTGATGCTGCTCAACAGCATGGTAAGAAATACACCAAATGCATATTAACAAGAAATTAATTGAGCTTATTCGGTTAAATCACCAAGCACATAGAGGCTGTTTTGCATAATGTCCTATATTGAATATATCATTATTTCTTGAATCCTGAATTAATTATGTAATACATTGTTTTTGCAGACAACTGGGAAGACTTGGTACGCTACCTTCAAATGGCTCGTAAGAAGGCCAGAGATGTGTTTGTAGAAACTGAGTTGGTATTTGCCTACGCCAAAACCAATAGACTCGCTGACTTAGAGGAATTTATATCTGGACCTAATCATGCTCAAATACAACAGGTAAGAACTGTATCCTGAGCATTTTGCCAGAAATAGGAAAACAGGCTATGTATCATCAAGTTAGGAATAGAGGACAAAGTCGATCAATATCAGTGGGTTAAGAATAGATAATTCACATAATTACGTGTCATTTGGCCCTGTTGTGTGTGTTTCAGTTGTTGGAGATAACCTAAAAAATTTATGTTTTTGACTAGTTTTAAAAAATATAATAGAGTTTATGATTGATTTAATTGCCGTTTTTATTTGATTTGGTCTTCATAGTCAGCTTATACTTCCATCGCTACTTTCAAAGGTACAATATCACACTCGCTTTTGGATGAGACATTTAGGCAGTTGGTTCCATGTTAAATACAGCCCATGTGCGCACCGTATAAGAGTGCAGTATTCTCTAGTGAAAAGTGCAGCTAATTGTCTACTGGTGTACTTGCATATTCACCACCAAAACAAACCCCACTGAAATAAGTCTTCTGACCTCCTTAGGATATTCTTAGTGTTTTTTAGAATGGAAAATGCATATCTTATGATTCCACCAATATTATTGTGTGTGTATTGTCGTTAACAGGTTGGTGATAGGTGCTACAATGAGAAGATGTTTGAAGCAGCAAAGCTGCTGTATAACAATGTGTCCAACTTTGCCCGTCTGGCTTCCACCTTGGTGCACTTGGGCGAGTACCAGGCCGCCGTAGATGGTGCCAGAAAAGCAAATAGTACACGTACATGGAAAGAGGTGAGGAAAAATTCTAATAAAGTGCATTGACCTCATTTTATTTTCTATGTTGATTTATTTATATATTTAATAATAAATAAATATAAAAAATATTCACTATGAATGATGCATTGTTACGCAGAATTAGGAATTGAATAAATTAATTTTTTGAAATAGAGCAATGAAAACTAATCTATGCAAATATTGGTGATGCAAAATGTAGCAATTTGACATAACAATTGAGTCTTTTGCTGCAGGTTATTATCCTTCTTTCCCTTTTCGTATTACAATTAAATATTTACAGTGATGTGATAATATATTTGTGTTCGTTTTCCCTAGGTCTGCTTTGCTTGCGTTGATGGCGAAGAATTCAGACTGGCCCAGATGTGTGGCCTACACATTGTAGTACATGCTGATGAACTAGAAGAACTCATTAATTACTACCAAGATAGAGGTTACTTTGAGGAGCTGATCTCACTATTAGAGGCAGCCCTCGGCTTGGAGCGTGCTCACATGGGTATGTTTACAGAACTCGCTATACTCTACTCCAAGTACAAACCATCCAAGATGAGAGAGCATTTAGAACTCTTCTGGTCTAGAGTTAACATTCCAAAGGTAAGACTAGCCCAAAAAAAACAACATTTATGTTTACTTCAGCATTGTTTACATAGGTTCTTAATAAGCATGAGCTATTTTTAGCCTGTCACATTCCATTGCTGATTGCAATGACTATAAATCATTGACTGCGAGCTATTAGACCCAGTCAACCACACTGCTTTTGTGCTTGACTGTAAGCTATATAAAACATGTTTAACATGTTTAAAATATTTGAATAAGTGCAATCTTTACTAACGCTATACTACTAAATACAAAATTGAACTAAAAATAGTATTGCAATATAAATGTTCCTTTAATGATATAGATGTACTGTCAAGAGAATTCAGTAGTTGAATTTCTGTATTTGAATTTAAAAAGTTAGAACAATGAAATGTTGTTTTCCTCAATTAATTGATGCATAAATAATATCTCTATATTCTTTTATTTGCTTTAAATTGGCTGGTGATTTATCTATTTACAAAAACTGAATTGTTTTTAGCCTTGTCCCATTGGAAGTTGATAACTAACTTCAAGCCCTTTATATAAGCAAAAAATGCAAAAATGACCAAAAAAAATTACCGTAGTCCTTTTTAAGTCCTTAATCTAAATAAATGTTTAAATAAAAAGAATACAAAATTGTCTAAAAATATCATAATGCAAATTAAGATGCATACAAAGACTTGGTTTATTATGAATAGTAAGTTGACTCCAAGTTACTGTCATAAAAATTCTTGTAAGAAGTAAAGTGTTGATGGAGGCAACTTGCTAGCTAAGTAGAATGTTTAGATCACTTCCTTTCAACAGCTGGATAAGCAAGACTCCTCTTTGGGCCCAGATATTTGACTGCTTATTTGACTACTTCTTAGGAGTCCAAAATGTTTTTCCCAAAGACTTTTTATGAATAGTAATTTTATTTGTTGAGCACAATTCATCCAAGTCTACAGGATGAAGAAATTGTATGTGAAGGTTCTTTCTCTATACCAGATTTCTTATGATTGATTAATTTTAATTAAATAAATAACATGTTAATTGTTATGTAATACCTTGAAAATCAAATTGAGTATACCAGCGTTTGCCTTTAAATTTTACTGAGAGTTAATCCCTATCAGGAAAATGCAAACATCAAATTCAAGAAATATTGAGGGATTGTAGGTTGTAAACACACTCTACAACAGAGATTTAATATGAAATCTTCAATGTGAATTTAAGATGGTCTGCACCTTTTCTTATGCCTTGACAGTGAATACAGTTGACTTTACAGTGATTTAATTGTGAAATTTGTATTCCATCCATCCATCCATTTTTTTTTTTTAAGGTTTTGCGAGCTGCAGAATATGCTCATTTGTGGGCGGAACTTGTGTTCCTGTACGATAAATATGAAGAATATGATAATGCGATACTAACAATGATGAACCATCCAACGGATGCATGGAGAGAAAGCCACTTTAAAGATATCATCACAAAGGTATGATAACATGCGATTTGCCATTTTATGGATATATGACAACATGGTCATATATTTTATTAATGATTTTCTGTTTTTCTATTTTTTTTCCCCCCAGTTTTTTTTATCAATATGCTTGTGAACCATTTAGAAAATAATTATTGTTATTTTTCTTCATGTTTTAGGTAGCAAATATTGAATTATACTACAAAGCAATTCATTTCTACTTGGACTATAAACCGATGTTACTTAACGACCTCCTTGTTGTGCTAATTCCACGTATGGACCACACACGTGCAGTTGGTCTCTTTACAAAAGTTAACCAGCTGACTCTAGCTAAGCCATACCTTCGGCAAGTACAGAACCACAACAACAAGGCCATCAACGATGCCCTTAACAATCTGCTTATTGATGAGGAAGATTACGAAGGTCTCAGGGCTTCCATAGATGCATTTGACAACTTTGATAACATCGCCCTCGCGCAGAAATTAGAAAAACATGAGCTAATTGAGTTCAGGCGAATCGCCGCTTACTTATATAAACGCAATAACCGTTGGAAGCAATCCGTAGAATTGTGCAAGAAAGATAGACTTTTCAAGGTAAATTATTAAATTTATAAAGTATTACATACTTGTAAAGGACAATATATTACATGATTAAATTTATGCTAACTTCATTTGTTATTTAGTATGGAGTTGTCAATTATAGAGATAATAAAAGACCTAGAGAAACTTTAAAAAAATTAATAGCACATTTATAACAATAAAATGGTAGTGTAGAAATTGTTTGGCGCAGCAAGAACAGTTTGGTTTCCCAATTTGAATTTGGGGTTTTAATCGTCGCTGTGCTTTTTGCTTGTGTTCTTGAGCAAGGCACTTTATCTGCATTACTTCTCTCCACCCAGTAGTATAAGTTGGTACCTGGTAGGGTTAAATGCCAAATACGCTGATTAGCTGCTGCAACGTTATAGAATTCTTCCCAGGGAGCTTGAGTTTGTGTTCCATAGGTGTTTAATCCAATAATAATAATAATAATAATGATGATAATAAAGATTTATAAAGCGCACATCTCCACCAATTGTGCTCAAAGACTGGGGTAATGATAATGTGAAACGCGTAGAGGTGTTTATGTCTATACCATTATTATCATTTATCAACTTGACAAACTAAATCTCTATAATTCCACTTTGTCACAGGATGCCATGCAGTATGCCCAGGAGTCGCGTGACCAAGACATCTCAGAGGAGTTGATTGCTTGGTTCCTGGAAGGCAAAAACTACGAGTGCTTTGCCGCAAGTCTCTTTAACTGTTATGATCTTCTACGACCAGATGTCATACTGGAACTCGCATGGAGGCACAACATCATGGACTTTGCAATGCCATACATGGTGCAAGTAATGAGAGAATATTTGACCAAGGTAAGGCAAAAAAAAAAAAAAAGCAATCACCAATATCAAGATCATCTTCTAATGAAAATACTTTATATTTCCTCCATATCATCATCATCAGTGAAATCATATCAACAACAGTATCATAATTGAAATCCATCACTGTTGTCGTCATCAATATTCATAGGAAGGGTTGGTGCTGCAGTTGTGATACAGGTTCTAAACCTCAAGGTCGGAGGTTAAACCCTTGCTGTGCATTTCACTACTGTCCTTGACCAAAGTACTTTGCCTACAGTTCTCTCTCTTTACCCAGGAGTATAAGTGGGTTCCTGGTTAGCTTTATTACCAATGCAGAAAGCTGTATATGCGTGCCATAGGTCGTGTGATAGAATGACCATATTAATAATGTGAATTGCTTATAAAATCTGAAAGAATATTCCTTAAAATATTTTTCTTTATTTATTCATCAAAATATTTACCAATGTTAACATAATCTTGATTCTTGCAATAGTTACCTTCAACATTGACATCTTATAACTATTATCAAAATCAGGTAAAATGTTGTTAAGATTGTATTTGTTTGTTATCTGTAAAGGTGGATAAATTAGCAGAATCTGAATCACAGCGAAAAGAAGATGAACAAGCTCAAGAAACACAACCTATTGTATATGGTGAGTGAGGATGATTAATTTGTAATCCAAATGACGATTAGGTTGACGACTATGACAAAAGTGGTGGTGATAATGGTTTAATAATGGTGGTTGTTGTATTTGTATGTTGATAGTGGTGAAAATATTGATGTTAATGATTTGAGGATGATAGTGGTAATGGTGTTGGTGATGGTGAGGATATTGTGATAATGGTTTTATGATGGTAATATTAGTATTACCATTTATAATTTCAATGGTGACGATGATGTTTATGGTAATGGTAATAACAACATTGATGTGTGTAGTAATGGTACTATTCGCATATTTATCTTGGTACTGTTTATATTAGAATGATCCATGAAAAAACGTGCATCATACTTTTCTATAAATTATAGAAAACTTGATAAATAAAATATTAATTTGTTTACAGGTGATTCTCAATTGATGATAACAGCAGGTCCGGCTATGGGAATGCCGCCAGCTGGTATGGCAATGCCACCGGGTGGTATGGCAATGCCACCGGGTGGTATGGCAATGCCACCAGGTGGCATGCCACCTCCAGCTGGCTACTACGGAATTTAATGTTGGAAGATATAATATGAAAGAATAAGGAGTGGATGTACATGTAGACAGGTATACAAGGCTGAGCTTACAGAAAGGATGATTGAATTAGTGAAGAACCTCGTATAGTGGTGGAACCCCATGTAAATGATTATAAAATCTAGATATAAAACATTTGTCTTTAGGGGATCATGCACGTTTTCTACTACTATTCTACTACCCCCCGATTATTGTAATTATAAAACTGTAATTTTTTCCCTTTACTTTTTCATTTAAACATTTTGAAATGGGGTGGGTAATTTTAAACTACACGTATGTTTTACTGGTTAAACCTAAGGAAATGTAATTGTTTACATCAAATACATGAGAGTCTACGCTTAGGTGTTTTTATGAGAATTTGACCCGATTTTTTTGCACATTTCATAACCCCTGGTGCACCAGCTATTAGGTTTTACTACTGTTCTGTTAGTTTTGGTCACAGTTTTTATTCATTGTTTAATATAAACAAGATGATGATACTATCCTATTATAATTATATGAATATTGAGAAGTTTTATTCCAAAAGGCATGATATTATTATGTTATGTATAGATTTATATGCTGGTGGGATGTGATTTCCCCAGGAAAGGTGATGGTTAGGTCAGGATTATAAAATGTTTATATGAATGAATTGAAGATCTTAATCAAAGTTAGGAAATAATGTTGAATGTGAACAGAGATTGTCTGTGCAGTGTAATGTTAAATTAGGTCAATATAACGAAATGAACCTGCAATTATATTGATTATACTGATAATGATATTGTTTCTTTTCCGAAGTAAAAAACCGCGATACAATTATATGATATATTTAGAATCGGTTTGAGCAACTTAAGATAGTTACCCTACATATTTCTATTATATTTTGCACTCTGGTTTTTGGATAATTTTTAAAAGAATTTATCCGGATGCATATCCTCCTGTAGTAATGCTCAAACATGAAAAAAAAAAGGCAAAAACAATATTAGTGGGGGAACACCCCAAACTAAAAAAAAAAAAAGAGAAACGTATTTGTAATAGCAATTGAGTCTGTAGCGGAGAGATGTTGCTTTATATAGTTGAATTGTCAGTTATATTGTATTCATGTAGTGTTATGGCCTTTGTACTGTATCAATGTGTATTTTGATTGAATCAGCTATATGGGCTGCAGTTAATCACCATGTATTAGTAGATTTATTTAGATAAACGTATATTGGCTTTTAGTTCAATAGGATGATGGCAAATGCTACTCTCTATTCTTGTTTAATGGTACAATTTTCCAACAAATTATAAAAACAAATCTAAGTAAAATGTGATGTATTTGACAATTCAACCCAAAGTCGTGAAAATAATAATTAAAAAACCATGGGCCAACCATATAAATATTTGTGTTTGTAGATTGCTTTTGTGAACGCAATTTAACATAATTATTGTATTATTACAGCATCATTAGGGAGATTTCACAACCTTGCAAAAATGAATACAATTGCGTCCTTATCATTGTCGTCATTCGTGCCTAAGACGTTCTTGACAATATGCTGTACAAGGTGAATATGATGCTTGATTCATGCAAAAGGCATGAATTGTCTGCGTTGTGACAGATATGCTACTTTAGGGGAAGCAAAGGGTTGGCTGAAAATTTGATGACGCAACCGTTATCGTTTTAGTAAGCTTGTGAAAACTCCCTATTGTCACTTTGTTGATCACCACTATTGTTTTTTAAGTCAAATACAGTATATCAGGCCCGTAGCCAGGTTCTTCCGAGGGAGAGGGGGGTTTTGTGGGGTCACCGAAACCCCCAAAGCAAGAGTATTTTTGTGCTTTATGGGTCTAAATAATGCGATAATAGCAGATATGTTTGAAAATATCTGTGTCTGGGTGGGTCTGCAGTGCATTAGTTGGGGTTGGAGGACTTATTTGAGAAAAGAGGGGGGATGTGTATAAGAGACAGCCATCTCCAATAATTTTAATATCACAATACTACATTACTACTGTACTAATAATATTTTTATGAAAGTTAATTCTGCATTAACAAATATTAGAGGTTATGCAAAGCATTTGTATAACATAAAACCTACTATCAGTGTATATGCTTGCAAAATTGCTGTACACTAATTACATGACCATATTTGAATAAGAATTTAAAGATGGCATTGAGCAATACCGCCTTGCCGCGACTGTCAATAAGTATCGTGCATGGCACATAGTGTGCATAGCCTGCTAGTGTTAAGACAGCATCATGTCATTGGTGGGGGCGGAGAGAGAACAAGTACAATGCGTTCCGGGGTGGGGGGAAAAACCTGCTATTTTTACAGAATGCGAGTCTTCAAAATCGATTAAGTAAGCCTTCCATATCTCTAAATTATTAGTTTCCGGGGAATTTAACCCTTGTACACCTTTTTGAGGGCTGGTTCTGAGCTGTCCTGTCCCTGCCAACTTACGTTATTTACGGTGAAAATCGTTCTTTTATAACAACACGTCATTTTAAAAATGTATAAAAGTAAACAATAATGTAGATTAACATTAATTTACTTAATCGTAATATTTCAATTAAAGCAAGTAACCAGATGAGAATTCTTTTACAGTAAATATTCAACTTAAATGTTCATAAAATACTGACCTTTGATTTAAATTCAATACAAAAACATATATAACTGTAAGTGTATATTTTGTAAAACCATACAATCTAGAAATATATACTGTACTATAAATTATGATATTGATCGTACTTTTGGTAGAATTCTTTTTGCTAAAAAACTTTTTGCCAAAAACAAATCTCAATATACTACCTCCAAATAGTGCCCTCTATTTTTGCAGCTTTCCAAACTTTTTATAAATATTTTTCCCGATTTTTGTGGGGAAATTTGACGGGCGTTAATCGAAATAGGAGTTGCTTTTCTTAGTGTAAATATTATCAGTTAATGCCTATAAAAGTAAAGTTAATACAGAAACCTAAAAACACTGCCACAAATCAAAGTGTTATATCAGTATAAATTATAGTCATTCAAATTTGAACTACACAAAATCATTCAATTTATAAGTTATATGTACATGAGTTTTATTTGAGCATCGTTAATAACCGGTTGTCGGCTTGGAAGTGTAAACAAAATTCAACTGTATTTTATGTTTGTGTAGGTACTATTGCTAGTTGGTCCATAATACATTCACTGTTCAATTATGTTTCATTGTTAATTTCAGTCGACCAAGGCCAAATGTAGCATGCTCTAGATTTCTTGATACCTTTGTTTTTCTAAATAAATATGAAGTCGTTTCCCGTGTTACATGTACAGGGTTGTTCCAGGGTCTTGCGTATCCATCGCCCTCTACATCCTGGGGAATCGATTGCCGTCCATCTTGTTCGCGCTCCCTCCACACCGTCTCCCCTGCATAAACCATTATCCTTCATGGCGGGGTGTTCGCACTGGACACATAGCTCAGTGCCTGGACGGAAGATAACGATTTTTACAGTTTAAACATTTATATTTTATGCCTTTCATTTAATTATATACTTTATTTCATATATAGACTGTATATATATGTCAGCATATGGAACTGTCTCTTATACACATCTAGATGTGTATATATATATATATACACACACACTTACCTTTAGTGATGACATCAGTCCACTTGAGGTTAACTTGGTTGCGACATCCCTTGTTTACTTTCTGTATCGTGAATGTAACACAGTACGTCTGGTACCTAAAATGAATTGCCATTTTTGTATAATTGTATAGTTTGTACCATGATTGATTTCTTTTTTAAATAGTGTCTTTTGGAGATCTCGTCTCGTCGTTTAAATGCTATAAAATTAACGTATCATATTGATCTCTGTTACAATCTTTGTGGTGTGCATCGAGAATTGCGCTGATCAATTACGCATTCACAAAGGAGTGATAAGGCTGAATTTGATTTCCAAAACAAGCCTCAATGACCCAGGGGGCTACGGAACAGCAGAAGGTCCCGGGTTCGAATCACGATGGCGGCGACTTTTTTTCCACGCTTGCGGTTTCCTTTTCTTTAGAGTTTCTATTTATAGTACCATGATTGATTATCATACGTTACGCTAAAGAATGTACCAATGAGAAGGATTGTCTTGGATTGGTTTCACCACAAAGCATGTTGACCTCACATTGACAATGATAAAACTTTACCATCAATCAAACGATGTGAGGATACCATAGGTGTTGATTACGTCTCACCTTTATTTAACCTACACTGCAATCTTGAGCCAAGAGAACGTAATTCATTGCGTGGTCTTAAGTGACGATCGATTTGGATGGGCCTGGGACGAGTTTGGGATAACTCATAAATGACTTCCATTTGGCACATAGTGCTTAAAATTGATGCGGATTTTAAAATTGAATCATAAACGTTCTGTATGCCTACTTCCCCGGAGGTCAACCCCATTAAAAGTCATCTGTCGCAAGTAACTAGACGTCTCAATGTAGATTTTGATTCGACAGGAGCGATGTAAAGATTGATTGACGTCTAATTATTGAACAAGTTCACGTTAATTCGGAGTATACCCATATCAAAGGGGGTCACAAAGTCCATTATTACAACTTGTTTACTTGATATCATATGCTATGCCAGGAACTTGCAGTCATTTGTTTCTGGGGAAATTCAGAATAATCATTCTCCAGCATTACTCGCTAATTTTACTCACGGCAATTAGTCAGGGCGGACTTAGGGTGGGGGCGCCGGCCCCCTTTTGGAAGGGGAAGAAGGAAAAAAAGAAAGAAAAAGAATAAATTGATAGCCCAGAACTCCTCAAATGTTATTTTCGGGCGTCTAGAACACAAAACTTTCGCGGGACATGACCCCGGACCCCCCTTTGGATAGTGTTGTCTCGACGATCGGCCCAACTTTCGGCCCCACCCCCCTTTCGGTCCCCCTTTTGGACATCTCTGGATCCGCCCCTGTCAGTGACGTAACGCCTATGGGATTCCGAGGAGGGTATGGGGTGAGGCCCCAGTCTCCCAGTCTAAAGGGGCCCCGGAAGACACTCCTATAATCCTATTAATAAACACATCTTCTAACAGAGCCTTGACATTGGTCCAGATTAAAACAATGATGATACCACGTTTTAAACACACGAATGGCAATACTTCTATATAAAACCCTGGTTCTTAATTGATTCGTTTCAAGGGCCAAATTATTTTTAGAGTTGATCTGAAGGGCCAAAGATAATCTCAGCCGACTTGAAAGATTGTTATAAAACTTGGTGGTACTCTTTCCGCTAAGATTTGAAATGTCTGTGTGAACATGTCATCAGTCAAAATACAAACAGTTTTCCGCATGTACACAATACGTGTGTAGGGCTGGCGGAAATGTATTTTTATGAGCTCTGTCTGTTGATTTGATACACCAACTTTTTATTACCCCTGTAGAAAGTAAAGAATCACAGTGAACAGAACAAAATACAAAGATGGAACACAAAAGTCGAGGTGATGCTATAATACCGGTATGGCTTGAAAAGAATTGACGAAACACAATGATAAGAACAAAAAAAGGAAGAGAACTTGGCAGCATATGGAATCCTGTATCACTTGAATTATTTGCAGGGAACTCAAAATGTATTTCTATAAGCACTGTACCGGTGGTTCACTAGTTATTTATTATCATGTAAAATAAGTAGGCTTACGGATGTTATTGACGATAAAACCTAATAGACATATTGCAAAATAACCTGAATTTAGTTGTGTTTACCTAGGCCTATATGATTTAACAATTGGCTTCTTCTACATGCATCTCTGCAATCCTTATAATTTTAACATATCTATGATATATCTAATTTAGCAGGGCTAATAAGAATAACAACTGTCTCTTATACACATCTAGATGTGTATAAGAGACAGACATATATATAGTTCTGTGTACAGGGTTAAATTTTAGATCTGAGTGTGGGGTAACCCCTAAATCAAAGCACGCAGTGAAGAATAGAACCACGGAAAGTACCAGCGATCGATTTTTGGCGCTACTTATTCTATTTCCGGCCTACTGTAGGCCTGAGGTTCTCAGCACTTTCTCGCCTCCGGGCCCCCTGTGGCTCGTCGTTACGCTACGGACGGCAATCGCACATGGTGAATGTAACAATTTGATATAAGCACACTACAGTATAAGCAAAAAAAAGGGGGGTGGGCGCTTGGAGAGTGAATAACACACGTATAGGATAGGCCTCCCTCTTTTAAAGCCTTAAACCAGACACTCTAGTAACATCAAACATGATGGAATTAAGTCTCCAACCAAAAATATGAATGTAGGCTAAAATCAGGTCCGTACAAAAACGAAGGAACGGGAAGAAGTGCAAGTTTGCAGCGAACATCTGGGTTCGAGTCGGCTAGACTTCGCTCGGCTTTGGATCTTCGGTGACCTAATTGCACATAATAACTTATACGTATGTTTTTAATAATGAAGATACATATACGCCCACATAACGTAAGTTTTACTATTTGACTAAAATATAGATTATCTTCTCTAGATAGAGATTATTGACAGATTGAATTGTTGTGTTTAGGCGGCCTAGTGGAAGGGAATTTAAAGTTTCTGGTAATGCATTTTAACTTGATTCGATTCCTATCGGTTGTAAAACCATTCCATAACCATTTCATGTGTCAGACCAGGGTGTGCAGCAGCTGGGAGCGATTATAACCTGTTGTAATGTACATTTTTAAATAGATTCTCTTTTAGTGCTAAAACTAATGGCTAGACCTCGTAGATTTACCGTGTTTTTATGAAAATATGTAGGCCGATGTGCTAGGTTGGAAGACAACGATGCGCTGAGGAAAAGGTAGGCCTATACTGTTTTACATGAGGTTATACAGAATAGATTTCGCCTTTACAATACACAGCGTATTTCGGAAAACTCTCTACATAATTTGCCATAACTCCATGAATGATGTGTAATAGGCCGATATACAATTTTGATTGAGCCAAGGCTTGACGCTTAGAGTTGAGATGGAGAAGCAGGGTACACTTACCTGGGTTCATCTACGCCGATCAAATTTGTGATCGCATTCCACTCGGGGTTCTCCCGTCCCTTACGAAAATGAAACGGTAATATGTGGGCTACATCTATCGAGGAAAAAAATTATAGTACTCATAAGTAAAACGTATCATTATCAAACGCCAGCAATCGTAAAAATCTGAATGACATGTAAGAAATTTAATATTGTTTACGTTGTGTGTCATGACGTATACGACTGCCGTTACTAACAGTTGACCGAAATGGTTGTTGCCGCGAGCAGTGGGTACAATGGGAAATAGAAGGTTCGAATTTTTTCAAGGTTTTTAGTGTGGGACGGGAGTTACAAGGAGCGCTTGTTAGAAAGACACGACGCGCGGTGCGCATTGACAGCGAGAGATTGCGGGTTCAATTCCTGCCAGTGACACTTTCCAAACCGTATTGATTGGCAATGGGCCTGTATAGCACTCTTTCTTTCTTTACGCAAATTGCGTTGCATACAGTTGGCAACAGAAGGAGTTTTAGAATCCAAGTAAGCCTATTCCGACGACATTTATCGCCGTGGGATGGTATCACGAGCATACTTAACATGGGACATGGAGAATTGTTGGCGGTTTTATGATTTCTGATGCGGCAGGTGTGTTTTGTGTTTGATAGTTATGTGTATAGGGCTATTCAACTGCTCCCAGACAAGATTAACTTAGGTTTCATTATTTATAATTACGACAACATCTATTGACGTTATAATGTGGCATTTACAAAGTTTTCTAATGTAAAATAATGTAATCATTTAAAACCACTGTCGTCATATATTGCTATTCATGTCTATAGCAACCTACAATTCCATCATTGCCATTAGCATCATCATCATCTCATCATCATCATCATTATCATCATCATTTATCACATCATCATCCTATTTCTTCACCATCTTAATCATTTCTTATTTTCTTCTCCACTTACTTTTGTCCTACTTTCGGTAACATGTACAAAAGCTAAAAGTGTTTAGGGATAGCCTATTGTGCTTATGATCTTGACGTGTTTAGCATTAAATGCGTTAAGGTATTTGACATAATGATGTCTAAACACGTTTAGCTTTTCAAACGTGTCACCAAAAGCGAGGCAGAATTATGTGGAGCTTTGCGTTTCATAACCACCACCATCACGTCACGAAATCATCACCATTGATGTTAGGCCTATTTATAATAGGCTATTATAATTTATATTATTATTGTTTTATATATTTTTAACCTATCATCACAAAACATTACTCACCGATATTTTTCCTTTTCTTAGGCTTGTCACTACAATACGTGCTCAAGCATGCCCGTTTTTCCATCATTTCTGGGCAGGGTTCACCCCCTTCCTCTGCCTCATTTTCGACATAACGTATCCTGGCTGCATAGCCAATACCACAGTGAACATTACAGCCACTCCAATGACTCCAGTCTGTAACTTCACAGTTACGCGCTAGTAAAAAATAAATATAATTTTGTGTTTTAAACATTTAGTATATTGCATAATAACAACAACAACAACAACAACAACAACAACAACGACAACAACAACGACAACAACAACAATAATAATAATAATAATAATAATAATAATAATAATAATAATAATAATAATAATAATAATAATAATAATAATAATAATAACAGTGCAGTAACAGTAATAATATAATTATTATTAGTACCGGTACTAATAATGATAATGAGTATGATGATGATGATGACGATGATGATGATGATGATGATGATGATGATGATGATGATGATGATGATGATGATGATGATGATGACGATGATGATGATCATGAATGATGATGATGACGATGATGATGATGATGATGATGATAATGATCATGATCATGATCATGAATGATGGGGATGAGGATTATAATCATGATGTTATCAATGATCATAATAATAATAGGCCTATATAATAATTTTTTTCTATCAACCTCCTAGATCAAATCATTAACGTCATACTTGGTTATGGGCGCATTCAGCGAGTTCACTTTTGTATGCAATTCATAAGGAAAAAGTGTTTCCCCTCCCCACCCCACCAAAAAAATGAGAGGCTTTCACTCCATTCCCTCCAACATTTGTGGCGTATAAATATAGGCCTATCAACTTTATTTCGAAATCAATTCCATACAAAATTACAGAGAAGACATTAAAAGTCTTATTCAACGTTTAGAAACAACACTCCTAAAACTTCATTCCTACAGTTCCGTTTGAGGAGTGCATGCTTTGTAGCTTATCTGTTTTAAGTAATTACTTCCATGTTTAAACATAACACGGGAGATATTAATTTTACGTCAATCTGTATAAGCTTACTCCAGACTAATTCAGTCTTAAGCTTTCCGAAAAAAAAAATCTCATTGATTCCCTTTTGGATCCAATAGACTAACAGTTTATTCTACTAAGCTCGTTGGTTGATTTGTTAAACCATTTGTTGAAATACATTCCCATCGTTATTTTCATTGATATCTTACCCTGTGAGTTTTACATTATCTCCATGTTTTGAAAATATTGATAACTTATTTGAAGTCTCTTTCTCACACGACAATTTGTGCCAAAGTAGTGTAATCTGTTAAGATGATAATGGTGATGAAGATGATTTATGATGATGATGATGATAATAATTATGATGACCATTAAATCATCTTCGGCGTCACTTAATCTTAGCTTCGATATAATTGTCATCACCCTCCTAGATCCTAATTACCTCGTCGTCATCATCATTATAATAATAAGAAGAATCATTATCATTTTAGTCACCATGCTTGTATCGTTATCATCATTATCATAATCATCTTCTCCATCAATCTCAATTCACTAATAGAAGGTGCGCTGCACAGCCTACATCCACATGAATCATCACCGTCATCAGCATCATCATCTTTGCCTTTATCATCACCGTCATCATCATCATTACAATAATAAGAATAATCATCATTGTAATCATCATTGTATCATTATTGTTATTATCATCATTTTTTAAAATTTAGACTCAATATCATCATCTTCTTCATCAATCCCAATTCACTAAGAAGGTGCCTACATCCACATAAATCATCCCCGTCATCATCATCATTACAATAATAAGAATAATCATCATTGTAATCATCATTGTATCATTATTGTTATTATCATCATTTTTTAAAATTTAGACTCAATATAATCATCTTCTTCATCAATCCCAATTCACTAAGAAGGTGCCTACATCCACATAAATCATCCCCGTCATCATCATCATTACAATAATAAGAATAATCATCATTGTAATCATCATTGTATCATTATTGTTATTATCATCATTTTTTTTAAATTTAGAATCAATATCATCATTTTCTTCATCAATCCCAATTCACTAATAGAAGGTGCCTACATCCACATAAATCATCACCGTCATCAGCATCGTCATCTTCACCTTCATCACAGTCATGGTATTCATATCATCATCATCTTTTTTCATGATACGAAACCAATGAACTCTAATCATATCAACCAATTATAACCAACTCTTGAAAAATCCTTAAGTGGACATTGATCTGTGGCTTTAGATGGTTCTCTCTTAGGAATCTTAACTTAATCTAAAATCGTTAAAAGCTCATTAACGGTTTCTAAACAATATCAGTTGTTACATAACGTAAAGTGGTTTGAGCAAGTTGCCTACAGAACTAAAACGTATTTCAACATACTGCATGAGGAATGGGCAACGTTATGGAGCCCTCCTTACAACAACCTCTAGACCCAGATCATTATCCTTCTTTCATTTGTGGCACCCAATGAGTTTGTAGGCCTAGGCCCTAATTGTTGGTTACGGTTTACAATTTGTCTTTTTTTTCACTATGCTCTGCATGAGCCAACACAATTTCATTGTATTTCAGATGTTATACAATGACAATAGGCCTAAATATTGATTGAAAGCATTAAAATGCAACCCCAATGTTGCCGTGCTAAATGGCATAAGAAATAAGTTGTAATGACCTAAATTATCTGCAGTCAGCAGTAAATAAATTTAATTTATTTAAATTTAATTTAGGACAAGCATAGCCTATTATAAAATGTTTTCTATTCATGTAAAATTATAAAGGGGTGGTGGTTTGTCATCGAACACAAACATAATAGGTTTTAGCTCCCGTACTTCATTCAGTGCCAGAATCAGTAAGCAGACGTCTTCAGGCAAAAACGAATAGTCGTTTTGTATTCGAAATGTCTATAATTATGATTGACATTTCATTTGATGACTATAAAACATGACTTAAACAAGTGCGACAAAAGGCCGAGCGTGTGTATAATCAAAGGCCAGCAGTGTGCAAACGCTTTGCTAAATCGGTGGACAATAGCAAGAAGAATGTAAATAGACCTATTCGCCCAAGTCTTCAAGGAAATCGGAAATTATAACGTTATTTTCTGTAAGTTTGTGTGTCTCTTTGTCAGCCACCATGGAGCTATAGATATATGCCTACCAATCATCATTTATAGATCCCTGCAATCATTTATTCCTCCCGTGCCGTGCAAGGGCAATAGGTGAGCCTTCGGGGGCGAACTACGCCGAGGGCGCGAGTTGAAGCGTAACGTGAAAAACCTGGAATAAGGCTAATACCACCTGTAGCCTACTCGGTACTGGACGCTTTTATTCTATTGATTTATTATATTATTCATTCTCTTAACTACAGAAAGTAAAATATTGTTTGTAACTGTTGCTCGATGCTAGTAATATTATTATAGACTACAAACACATAGGCATAGGGCCTATTGAGATTACAACTTGGCATTGGAAAATCGCATTTGTGAATAAATATTATATGTTTGATTAGTACGGTTATTATGATTACGTTACCCTAAGGCCTAAAGTCAGATCTTTTTGACAGGTCGCAATATAGACCTCGACCATGAACCCGAAAAGTCGACCGCTTCGTGGACGTGCCAATGAGGGAAATGGGGCCAGGCCCTGGATTTATCAATCTCAACTTAGCACATGTCTTAAGTCAAAAAAGTTAAGATGTCCCTAAGCAAATTTCTTAAGCTGATTTATCAAACCATCTTAGCAAAATCTTAGCTTAAAAATCGTCTTGGATGGCACACACGTACAATCGACTTTTTAATTTTAAGCAATTTTTAAGCTAAAGCAATATTGATAAATCTGACTTAAAGCAAAAAATGGACTTAAGACGAATTTAAGCTGATTTCTAGTTTGATAAATCTGGCCCAGGCACCTGTCGGAGGTCTGACCCTTCCTTGTCGGAGAGAGGAAACACAAATCATCGGGGAGAAAAAAAAAACACTTATGTTCCTGTCAGGGAAATCGTTCTTGACGTCGGGGACATCGCCCGTCTCACCCCCCCCACCCCCTCACCGTCGGGTAAATATAGGTAAATGAGGAATACTGTCGTTAATTTTGATATCCTCCAACCAGTCTAACGACCACGCTAAAAGTAAGCAAGTAGGCCCGACGGAATACACATAACCAAACGATTTACAGACGCATCGACACCTTATGACCCTTAATGTTCTACTCAAAATCCGGCAATCACCCCACCTCCATACATTTTATTGGTGTTAGTCTATTTCTTGAATTCGCCGATTTATGTATAGGTGATGCTAGCTCGTACCTCCGGCACTTGCACAAGGCTAAGCCGGTGACCAAACGTTAATTGTTTTGTCAACTTTAGCAGTAACACGAGCTCGCCTTTTCGACATTCGCTCGAGGGGCGTACGCCGAGACCAATTGTTGTTTATTACCGAAGTCAATGGCTAGGCTGTTTTCACACGGCAGCTAACGGTTAGCAGGGTCCGGATCCTGCTAAGCGTTAGCTGCCGTGCGTCCATACGACCAAGATCCCGATCCGGATACCAAGAATATGATGATCGAATCACTGGCCAATAAGAAACTGGAAATTGTAAACGCGTACGTGTGATTGGTGATAGAATCGTGCTCAACTTGCTAACCGATAGCGCTTCTAACCGTTACCGGTATCCGGATTCTGCTAACGGTTAGCGCTAACCGATCGGGCGTTCTCACGCAGGTGCTAACGGTTAGCGCGACGGTTAGCTCCCGATACTAGGGCTCTCGTGAGAACCAGGCAAATAGTGCGATATGTGAATGTATCTGCACAACGGCCTTCACATGTGCGGTATTTTTAGGCGTTTCATACTTGAAACATGTATTTCGGAAAAAGCAATACAGGAATATTTAATTTCTGTACGGTATTTGACATCTTTAGTTTTGATGCCGCTTCGTTGAAAAACACACATGCTCAAAAATAAACAGTAACCACATCAACTAACGACCTCAATACAACATCACGATCGAGACATTGCGGAATTCGTCCCGATGAAACGCGTATTAACTCGAGCAGTAAATAACTTCGGATCGAGTTTCTACATCAACGCTAATACGTAATACATTGATTAATTCTATTCGTAAAACGTGCACCTGAATTATATTGTAAGCCTACATTTGATAGTTTTATTTTTTAAGTCAGGATCACAGAAATAAGAATAGGCCTATGCCTGTTATAAAGCAAATAGGGCCTATAAATTTGCATAGCATATGGATTTTCTCCATGATGGAGTAATGCCAGTGTTACTGGTAACGACTAACGTGTCGGTGTTCCAGGATTTGGCTTCTGTAATTTAGAAATTTTAGTCACGAAATATTACTTTCAGAAATCCGTTAAATAAGGCCCTTCCGGAGCGTAATAATAAATAAATAATAGTTGGATTTGTATAGCGCATAATGCAAAAAACCTCTATGCGCTTGGTGATTGAGCTCTTTGAGTTTGACATTTTGAAAAAAGTTGATGTAATTTTATTTTATTTCAGGGGCTTTTACCCCCGAAACCCTAACGGGGCTCTGCCCTTGGACACCACCGGGACTCTTGACGGCCCCAGACCCCAGCCGTTTAAAGCCGGGCACACACTGCGCCCGACTATCGTAGTCTGCCGACGTGATTCCATGAAGAACGCAAAGCCACGACACGCGCGCAAAGGATTGTTATTAATGACGAGCACTGTCTGAGCAGACGGCGTCGCGTCGTCTAACAGTTACAGGGATCGGCCGGCGGTCGTACGACGCTCGCAAACGCAGATCCCACCCTCGAAAATACTACAGGTCTGAAGGAGACTCGTTTTCACGGCGAAGTGTTGAACTCTTCCCTTCCCCTCTCACCCGTCACCCGACAGCATTGCACAAACGCAAACGCACAAAAATAGATAGGCACTACGGCATATGTCAGCTTCAAGCCACGATTTTGACTTTACTATACTCACAATTTAGTAATCAAAAGACGGATGTGAATATTGACTCATAATTATCAGTTGTTTGGTGTTGCTTTGGTCAGTTCAGTTAAACTTCATGTTATGGTCATACACGATTTGATAAGCTTACTGTGAATTGCCTTCAGTTGATTTAATTTATCAGCACTCTCAAGAAATAGGACGCTGATTGTATTGAGGTAATAAATTCAGCAAACACATTGTTTGAAATATTGAATAAATATAACTTCGGTATATACAAACATTCTCATAACCCAGACTTTGGTTTCATTATGGCAGTTATTTGAGGTAAGTATATATTTGGATTATATTACAAACTGTTTATTGTTCATTGAACACAATGAGTACATTCTAAATGAGTTGATATGTCGCTTTATTGATGACCGTAAAAATATTTTTAGAGACGGATTTACATTGATTGTCCGAGCAACGAATGAATCGCCAATGGTAATACAACAATTGTGTTATAATAATAATTATAACAAAATGAGGGGTAACATAAGAATCTTAAAACACGAACTTTTTTATAGATAAGTATGAAAATAACTAATCATGTGAATGGTATAATTTTAATGATAGAAATGAAATTTTATTTTTCAAATTAACTTACGTGTTTTACACGTTTGTTCGTAGTCGATGCAGCAATCGTCTGTTTTAATACAATACGAATCACAATAACATGTTCCGTAAGTTGTCGATCCTAGCCGGTAGCCGTCTGCAGTACAGTCAATATCCTTTCCTTCGCAGCATAGATTGCTGCCGTCAGATTTAGCACTAGAACAAAATCCTTCAACTTTTTCGATCAGACCAACTAAAAATACTAATAGCAAAACAAACCCAGTCATTTTGAAGAGTTCTGTATTTTTCGTTTCTCTCAACCCAGTGGTATTCAAAACCGATTGAAATTGAGATTTAAAACATCTACGATCAGAAAAAAAAAACACGTAGAGTTACCACAATCACGTACATTAAAGTGGCTGATAAGACAAGACACAACCCTGCGTTTGTTAACCTTCTCCTTCACTTCAAAGAGCAATTAAAATAACTAATAAATAAAATGGGATGGGCCGTGTAATGGATAGCGATTGCGATACCTTTCCAGAACTATAGTTTACACTTCCGATAATAACTCGTTCTCTGACGACGGAAACTTAACACAGCCGGCTATCGTCGAAAAGATATGGAAATGCTCTACGCTTCATTTGAGAACAGAAATCACCAAAATTAACCGTCTCATCACCTCCGCTTCAAAAGCGTTCAAAATATGTCCCTGATCGCTTGCCGATTGAATCCTCTTCACTTTGTTGGCAAAATATGTCTGTTAGCGATGCACTGGGGAGGAAAAATATCGCTTTGGATACGTCCAACAAGGTCTTATTTATTTGATTAGACAGAGATGATCCCGGCCGGACAGAAAAACACTTTAGAATGAAGTCAATCTATCGTGCTCGTTTAGTTGAAGAATAAAAGCAAACACAAAATTGACCAATCGTCTTCTATTCCGCTCTGCTTATTTTTGATCAATCACACATTCCTATTTTTAAAGTTTGGTAATCGCTTGCATATTTTCAACACACCTACAAAAACACTCAAGTATGTTAAATATTGTGAAATAGTTTTTGTTTCCTTTTATTATTCGAATACACGAGGTTTGATCGAATGTGATAAAGTCAAGTGGGGTCGTTAAAGTGGATCACTCATGAGCTGACGTCATGAGTCGCGTGTAACGTAAGCCTAAAGGCCAAAACGCGCGCAAATGCGACAGCGCGCTGTACAGAGCCGATCAAATTCAGGGGAGCCAGGATGTTTATGTTTTAATTGTTCTAGGAGGATGCATATAAACAAATAATGACCCCGGTTTGTTAGTTAGAGCAACTTCAATGTTTGTTTAGTCAGTATAATTGCTTATTTCTCTCTCGTCTCTAATCACCCGAATGATAATCTCAATGTTTTCCCATAATTCTGCAATTAATTCCAACTGGGATACCATAAGTGCTTTTACCAGTCTTGCATTTAATCACAGGTCTGTGATTTAATGATCATCGTGTTAGTACCATTAGTCCTCTGTGCAAATTGCGCCCTCTCCCGATTATATTTAAAAACTTAATAATAAGTATAGGCCTATATAACAATAAATATTCTTTCAGTCAGTTTAAATGCCCGTCGTTGAAGGCGATAGTTTCACAGCTTTTATATTTTATATTAGAGGTAATAATGGTAAAAGGAATATATTAATTAAGTATTTACTTTTACAACAACCACTATTATAAGTATTAGATTACTAATGAACAATTAACATTTCATTACATATGATTTCATTACTTTTATTACTGAGGAATTACTTTCATTACTTTCATTACTGAGGATGTATTAGGAAGTATACGGTAAGTCTTCATGTCCTGTTTAATGTTTAAGCAAATACATATTAGTACTGCTTTTCCGGTACCCATTTATATTGCTGAATGGAGAGAGACAAACGTAAATACAGACGTGTTGGACCAAGAATCGGACACAAGCGATTTGGACAGCGAGGCATCTTACCCCTTCTCTCAAGATTGGTAGCCGAATCACATCGCTGCGCACGAAACTCCCCTACTTGCCCAAGTAATAAAATGGACACTGTAAAAAAGCCTTGGCAAAGAACGAGTAGGCCTATGCAGCTTATTTAGTCTCTAGTATACGATGTTGACTCAAGGCTTGTTAGTTGTCACTGAAAATATAGCTAAGTAAACAATGGAACCCTTAAAGTGCAAAGTGGCCATTTCAAAAGGCCTTTAGTAGTGCTGTTTTTGCAAATGTAGATGGTTTACTATTTGCAGAGGACACTCTTTACTGTGGAAAGCATTTCAATGCTTTTATAAAGATTGGCACGTGCGTGCCAACCCCATAAACCAACCCCGACCCCATAAAACCTTTTTTTTCATTAGCATTTATTTACAGAGAGTATAATGCAGTACAATGCAAACCCAACACGCAAAATAATTAAACCAAACAAAAGCAGTATCAATGACTACTGCGATAAAAAATCAAAGATAAGCCTTTGAAAATTAAATAAACTGAATTTCTCAAAATATATCTCCACATAAGTAATTAAGTTTCCAATAATAACAGAAAGTAAATCAGGTTCCATAAATTTGCTACTTCTCTCAGTTATCATGGTGCCGCGCTGAAAAGGGCGCCGTTTCGTGCATGTGCAAGAGAGTGTTAAATCAGTTGCTTCCAATCGAACAACGAAGCCCCAGCGACACTGTTAAGGGAAGGCGTCAACATAGACAGTAGAAAACCGAAAGGTCCACTGATTAATCTCAGATTGGATAGAATAATACATACTCCAAGTATCGAAATGCACGCCATCGTATTTCGACATTAATTATGTCAACATCAAGCTTATATGCACAAGTACCACAAGTGTTTGACTAATCAAAACATTACCCCTAGTAGGTGACATAGTTATGAATAAACTAAAGATCCAAATATCCTACCATATACTGATTAAAGTTACCTATAAAAACAAAGAAAGCTCCTTTGAAGCTTTCAGCCCATTGTTAAGCAATGGGTGTAGCCTCGTCGTATAGCAAACGCTTCTTTAAACAATAGGCCTAGTATAGACCAATTTTGCGAACTGTCAATAAAGTTAGTATTAGAAAATATTAAACCGAATTTATTGAATGTAGGAATAAAGCCACCCCTGTCCAAAGCCACCCCTGTCCGAAGCCGCCCAACAATGGATTATACCATTGTAAAGTAGGGGTGGACAATGGGGTGTTTTTTTATGCTGGTCTACAATAGGTTTCTGCTGCAGTGCTAGGAGTGTCTTTGTATTAGCTTTTGTGTATTATGAATTAGAAACTGGGTGAAGTCTACATAGGCATAAACATCATCAGCTTCTCCTAATGAAGCAATTGAGTGGTTTCTAGAAGGAAATGTATTTTCTTTTTTTTTTTACAGTCAACATTTTATTCTTTTTACAGTGTACCATAATATTAATTTCCCTTACAGGCATAAACATCATAGCTTCTCTTAATTTTGCAATTAAGTGGAAATCCATTTTTTGTTTAACTTTTCTTTTTTTTCTTTTTTCAGTAGTATTAATATTATTTTCCTTTCTTCTTCATTACCAATTACAAGTATCTATTTACTTATTATTTACTTATTTACTAAGTAGTTATATTATTTAACATGAAATATAATATGTTCACTTCCAGTCTATTGATATTACAATTATTCACAAATAAAAATATAAAATAAATAAAAAAACAGTAACAAATTATTATTTATCCAGTATCATATGTGGTTCATGTGTTACCATATTATCATTATTTTTCCTTTATTCATATTACTAAATAATACTACAATAATCATTATTTATTATTATTGAAAGTATTATGTGTGTATTATGCGAATTTGTATTGGAAATTCATAACCTTCATAGTATTTTTTCCAGTCAATTAAATTAAAAGTGAAGTAATATGTATAAAAACAATGTGTGGGCTCTTGAAACTAAACTACGAAATCCAAGAAATCTTATGGTTCCATAGTGTAATCATAATAGATATATTGACCAGTATGTGTATTTTTACGATATATACTCATGCTTCCTACGCTGTTGTCAAATTGTAAATCCAGAAAGTGTACTAAATCACTGTTTTCAAATGATTCAAAGGTAAAATTAATCTGTTTATGAAAAGCGTTCAAGTGACGTAGGATGTGATGAAAATCATTAGGTTTAGCTAGCTAGTGTGTCGTCAATAAAACGAGTATAAAACTTATTAATACCTGATTCTATAAAATTTAGGAACAATAGACTCTTCTAGTTCAGTCATTAAAATATTGGCTAAAAAATGGTCCAAGGGGTGGATAGACAGTAGAAGAGCTCGAGTTCAAGTACCGGTTTTGGGGGGGGGGGGGAACTCTTTAACACAATTATCCTACGACTATTCCCACCTTCAACGTTCAATCTATCCAGTTGGCCTACTTGACCTGAATATGGCGTGATATATCACAGAGCCTCTCTGTATTTATTTAAGAACAACGTTGTACCAGTCAGAGTAGAAGAAATAAGTTTCTCATATATAAATCATTTTGTTGTAGAGTCAGATGTTTTGCTTTTCTCTAAAAAAAACTTTAAGATTTACTAAGGCTGAGTAGTTTATCTGAAGAATCATTTGCAATGGTCAGTTAGCAAAGTCAGTAAAAGATAAGATTAAGAGCTAGGCCTAGTAGAGATATACCTATATACATTTGGAATTTAACACGTTGCGTGTGATTTTCGATAAATTATTGAACAACCGATTTCTTAGATAGGCCTAGGTAGGCTACACAAAAGAAACACAGTAACTGTACCGGTATTGTACCGCCGCATATTTAATTCGGGAACCAGACCTCAACTAATTTTTGCTGTTACCAAAGAGTATAAATAGAACAAGAGAGCAAAGTCCCGTTCGTAAAAACGTCATGCCTGTGTAGGACGCCAACTAACGGTTGTATATTCTTTTTATTACCCAGTGCAGCGCTGCGCAGCGCCTGCGCAATAATAATTTTAAAATTATCAAGCTCAATCTGAGAGTATAAAAATCTAGAGTGCGACTGAGTATTTGAGATGGAAATGTCCATTTGTTTCTGTGCAAAACGTAGGATCATCTGATAAGTAATGATGATAAAATAATAATGAAATAAAAAGTATAAAAATATCGAGCCGAATCTCAGAATTATAAGAATCTAGATTGCTACTGAGTGTGTGAGATGGAAATGTCCATTTGTCGATAAGCAAAACTTAAGATCATCACTAACTTGCCATGATTTGCTGTTATCGGTATCAAGCCACACCTGTATTTTTTGCATCCATATCATCCATTACACATCTGTTTCAATCGAAAAAATTATTTCCATTTCAGTTCCGTAGAATTAAGTGTGTAAGTGTAGGATTCTTATAATATCATTGTGTCATTCACATGAATGTGGCACAGATGTGTATAAGAGACAGGCCTAGTAGAGATATACCTATATACATTTGGAATTTAACACGTTGCGTGTGATTTTCGATAAATTATTGAACAACCGATTTCTTAGATAGGCCTAGGTAGGCTACACAAAAGAAACACAGTAACTGTACCGGTATTGTACCGCCGCATATTTAATTCGGGAACCAGACCTCAACTAATTTTTGCTGTTACCAAGTGCCGAATGGGGGCGTTGTTATAAACAAATGAAAAGGATTTTTTAGTCTCTCCATTCTAATTCGAAATCCACCGAATAAATTATTTTATTTTGCAATGAATTACAATTCTGGATTCTGAAATTGTAAATTATTATATTTTTAATTATTTACTGAAATTTCCGTAAAATAGTTTGAAATAAGGCGATGGTAGTAGCTTCAGTTAACTAGCCCTGGCTAGGCCGACCTGCAAGCCATCAACTGAATTGAAAGATAGAAGCAGGATCGGGGGAGAAACTTGACTGACGCGAGGAGATCAACATGGCTGACTCATCGGTGAGTAAGCCTAGGCTAGGCGGCCCTAGGCTTGGTTTCTAGGTTTTGCGATAGTACACTAATATAAGGTATTTAAGATCCATATTCGAAGAGTTGGGTGATATTAGCCTAAATTGCATCAACAAGTAATTGAGAAACAACCGAGTCCCTCCCTGGACCCTGCCTTCCACCCCCTCTAACCTAGCCTAGGCTAGCTAGCTAGGCCCCCTAGCGCCAGCTAGGGAAAATGGGGAAAAAATATGAAAAAGGATATTGTTCCGACATTCTGTAGTGCATTAAGGTAGCAAGACTGAAATTCAAGCTTAGAATCAAGCCAGATAGGCTAAGCCCTAATTTTGTACAAAATCTGCATGGAAATCATCCCTTATTTTCTGAAATACAAGGGCAGATTTCTCAGCCTAACCTAATTTGCACAGTTAGTTGGTTCAACATTTGAGAACCAACAGTGTACAGTATATTTGCTCACAGTTTTTAAGATTGTTTTAATAAACTCAATATCTTTTGTAGAACCCTACATCCAGTCCAACCAGTACGCAGCTTCCGGTGTCCATCATTCTTGTGATAGCCATCGGTGCTTACATGTTAGTCATTGTTGCCTTGTTATTACTTAGGCAATTTCTTGTGGTAAGTTACTCTGTGTTGAAAAATGATATCAGATATCATATTTACTAATAAAGTGAGACATTTTTATACTTTGTTTAGCGAACCCGCCGACTGCAAATATTGATGATTTCGAATAAAAATAAAATTTTATTTCTGGCACCCGCCGCCACGAAAAAGTGGAAATTTCAGAAAAAAAAAGTTTTTCTTTGATTTATTACACCTTCTGCTGCCTTGAAATCTCCAAAGGTAAGATATGTATATTTCTTCCTAATTATATAAATTTGAAGCACTTAACCATCTTATTTTACATTCACCAATAAAATTTAATTTTTATTTTCTCCTCTGTCTGGATGTTTTGGCAAAACTATTTGCTAAATAAGAAAACAAAATTTTGTTGTTTTTTTTATTCCGCCCTCCTCCTATGATCTTTAAAAAAAATAAGTACGCGAAACAAGGAATAAAAAAGGTCTCGCTTAATAGGTGATTATTTTCACTACATATTTCTTGCTTAATATCTTTTAGAAATGATAATATTTAAATTTATTAAGAAAATGTAACTAATATGTTTATTTGCACAGGCTAGAGGAAGTTGTGGAGAGTGTGCCCCTTGTGGTAAGGAGGATGGTTCATTCCAGTGCTGTGATTGTTGGGTAAGCCTTGCTGAAGCATGTAACTGCTGTGCTTATCCAAATAGAAGGAGCTGTTTAGATTCTCTGTGTGGACCGCCTTCAAATGTAAGATGATTCCAGAATTTAGATGAAGTAATATTGTTTTCACCACCTTTGAAATTGGAATATAAATCCAGAGATTAATTGAGTAGTGATAATTATATGATACTGAATTATATCCTTTTTTTGTGAACACATGACTTTCTTGACTCATTCCCTTCATCTCCTTGTGGAGCATAGGTCTTTGGAAATAGCATGCCATCGCACTCTGTTTTGGGCTATCCTTTCTAGCTGGTCCAGAGAGTATCCAGCTGTTTCTTGGGCGACCTTTTTTTCTTTTTCCTAGTACTTCCGTCTTAAGATTCGTCTCCAGGTGATATTATCGGGTGGTTTTCTGAGTGTATGGCCAATCCAGCCACACATTTGCACCTGCAAAATCTGTTCAACTACCCTTTCCTGTTGTTTCAAAGCTCGACATTGACAATATATTAGTAAGAGGGCTAACAATTTGCTAGGAAGGTCATTGGCCAAAACTACCTTTTTTGAGCTAACCCCCTCTGATAAGTCAAATCTATTTACATGCAGGAGTGATTCAGGTTGAGGGGGCTTCATTCCTGACCCTCAAAAAATATTTTCTTCTGGACTTCACTGGGGTGCCTAGCATCCCCTGGTCCTCTGGCACTAGTAGGGAACCCCTCTTCCCCTTAAGGTATCCTGTTTTAATAGGTAGTGTGCTTTAAACCAGCTTCCTAATATTTTTTTTTAATTATATAACCAATTGTGTTTTGTTGATCTCTCCTCACATATTTATTAATGATGTGACATTTCATTGGCCGAAGTTGTTAAACGTTTTGTATCATCATTTTAACACATAATATTAACCTCATTTTGCAGTTTTGTAATGACCTTTTTCATTCTCTTGTTTGATGTGTGCCCTTTTTTTCTCTCTTTCCACTCAAATTTTCAGCGCTGCACATTAACAAGATGTTTTTCTTGTGCTGCTTGCGAAAGTGACGAATGTTGTGGTCCGGATTCTGGCTGCAATGTAAGTAAAATGAGAATAGCTAATATTAGAAAATTTATTTTTTATCATAAATCATATATAGATCAGTAAATAAGCAAAAAATAAACAATCAAGTATCTAAGGTGATCATGTATTTAGGCATTTTGATTTGGTTAAACTTCTTCATTTGAATGTGTTGTTAGAGAGTGGAGCTGTGGTTTGGTAGTTAGAGTACTTGCCTTCCAATTCCAAGTCTGGGGTTCGAATCCTGCAAACATCACAATTTTTTTCTCACAGAATCTCTGAAAACAGCTCCACTTTCTAGCCTCTTAACCTCATAATTAGACTTAATTTATATGAACTTCCATCCTGTAAGTGAAGAGCCGCTAGCTGATAAAAAATAATTTAATAATAATTTTAAAATTATCAAGCTCAATCTGAGAGTATAAAAATCTAGAGTGCGACTGAGTATTTGAGATGGAAATGTCCATTTGTTTCTGTGCAAAACGTAGGATCATCTGATAAGTAATGATGATAAAATAATAATGAAATAAAAAGTATAAAAATATCGAGCCGAATCTCAGAATTATAAGAATCTAGATTGCTACTGAGTGTGTGAGATGGAAATGTCCATTTGTCGATAAGCAAAACTTAAGATCATCACTAACTTGCCATGATTTGCTGTTATCGGTATCAAGCCACACCTGTATTTTTTGCATCCATATCATCCATTACACATCTGTTTCAATCGAAAAAATTATTTCCATTTCAGTTCCGTAGAATTAAGTGTGTAAGTGTAGGATTCTTATAATATCATTGTGTCATTCACATGAATGTGGCACTGTTTGCATGGAATGGCTTTAAGCAAGATGCTCTAGTCATTGATAGAATTAAGCCTGAAATTATAACATGCTTAAAATTTTAGTTGATCGAGTGTTATGATGATGATGACGATGGCAGCAGCGGAAGCAGAGATGACGGTGATAACAATGATATTAATAATATTTAAAATAATTTAATAATAATAATAATAATAATTTATTATTAGTAATAACAACAAACATAATTTAATATATAGTGATATATTTATTTAATAATGTTTCATAATTATAACTATATTTTTATATAATAGTTTATAATAATGATAATCATAATATCATGCATCTATGAATTAACCATTTATTATTAGTTGACTGCTTAATTTCAAGCTCATATTATTTTTTTACTGGAGGTGAGCCGTAAGTATCAGTAGGAAGAAAAAAGACATTAAGTTGAATTCTCTCCATTTTAAAAGAAGAAAACACTGAATCTATTTGTTTTGAATGGCTTTATTATCATTGTGCATTATCATGCCCATTTTCACAGATCAATTTTTAGCATGAAGAGCCAACTCAGGTATGATTCAGGTTATATGTGATGCAAATATTTCTCCTTCTAAAATCAATTCCGGAATTTTAGTTTTTTAACTCTTTCTTTTTTTTTTTTGCTTACTAATACATAGCACGGGTGGTCTTTATACCAAGTTGTTTTGATTTGTTCACATTAAAGTCAGGCTCTGGAAGAAAAATTGTTTTTGATATGTTCTACAACTGATTTTTCTAAGACAGAAAAAGAATATTTGACAAAAAAAATACAGATTTTTGAATATTTAAACACTGAGGGAAAAGGTGCTTAACCACCCTTTTTTCCACCTTTTTTTTTCCTCTCGAGCCTGGCTTGAAGTTCTTGCTACTACTCCTGTTATCTTGAATACTGTGTTGTATTTTTTTAAATTGAATATTTAACTAATTTAATTTAATTGTTTTACAATCTGTTGTATGTGTGCATTTGCATGGGATAAAACATTTTAAGACAATATTATTGTACCTTTTCTTGTCAAATGTTTAAATAATAATAGCCCACAGTGAAATTGCATAATTAACTTTGTTTTCAAATATGAATTATCCAGCAAAAGAAAACAAATTCTACCAGAAATGGACAACCTTGAAAGTAATGACATTATTAATTGGCTTAAAATTTATCTATCAGTAACTAAATCTTGAGGAAAACATATTTTTGTTAAAACATGTGTTTATGCTTTAAACAACTTTTTTTTAAATTAATTTTATGTTAATAATTTTACAATGTGCCCTTTGACATGAGCTGAAAATAAAACATTCAATTCCATTTTTAATTGCTTAATTTGTTTAAACTATTAACTTACAATTTAAATTTTTAATGAGAAAAAACAGACAGTTAAATAATACCTTTTACTGTATTATTTTCCTTAGACCCTTAAATGTAAACAATTTAAATATTTTTGTAGTCAAATGTCTGTTAATGGCTTTTTTTGCACCAGCAGAAAATCCATTGGTTCAATTTGTTTCTGGTTGGAAGTTAATTTAAATAAATAAATTTAGCTAATTCATGGTTTTGATTGAATATTTTAGGTTTTTCCTGATTTTATTTTAAAAAAAAAACTTTTGGTAGTGTAGGCCCTATCTATAATTTGATAACTTTTAAAGGTTTGTTAAGTTAATGAATAAAAAAATAAATGGGAATTCTAAATCTTTTATTTTTGTATAAGCCAAACTTGCTCATATCAAAGTGAATCGATATAAACACTGTACACACAACATAGGTTTATGTTGATTGACCTCAGTTGACCTTGGATACGAGCATGTGCGGTTTTAACTATAAATTGGCTTCTTGATGTTAATTTGTCATGTCTCCATCAATATGGCAGCTCATAATGGGGACTATGAGTTCTTTCTCCCTGGCATGATAACCTTCTTCCCAGCATTGTAGTGGTTCTTTGAAGAGTTTTTGTTGTTTCAAATGTAAATAAAACGATTGATGGAACTTCAAAGATCAGGCTTCAACCAATATCAAATACCAAAAGATATCAAATGAATGATGATGCACAATTTGTCGATTTTTGTGTGAAAACAAAAAACACGTTATATTTTCATTGCGGATTTTTTGGGCTCAGTACAGACTCTAAACGCTGTCTCTTATACACATCTAGATGTGTATAAGAGACAGATATGGAGCTTTAATTGTAAATTTATGTTTTGATTTATTTATGTATATTGAGGGGTCAGTTGAGTATTTGATCTTGGACTCGCAAGTCTGTAGCATACAATGATCAAACTGCTTTTGTTAAGCTTTAACTCTTTGATTTAGATTTATCTGTAATTTCTTGTGTATGGTGGTATGGTATGTTGTCTATTGTGATGTTATGTTTCTATAACAAATAAATGATTGCTAATGCCTCACAGATGTCAGTGGAATTACTGAGTTTAACGGTTGCTAGAGTGTCAATTCTAGCATGGTGGCACTTTTGCGCGAGTATGTTGCCATTTTGGCGGTGAAAAGACATGTTTTCTTCTTGGTGTCTCATCTAGAATAACGCTCTAGCATTCTTGTTACAACTCTATGGTGTCCATAGATTTTGTAAAAATTATCTGATGCCTAATCACAGTGACATTTTGATATCATGGTTGGTTGCAGGGGCGGATCCAGAGATGTCCAAATCGAGGGACAACACAATTTTTGTTTTCTACTGTAGACACGCCCGGAAATGATCAATATTTTTTTTTCATTTTTTTCTTCCTTTTTTTTTAACTTTCCAAAGGTGGGGGTGGGTAGGGCTGGTCCTCCTCTTTCCCCAAATCCATCATAAGGTCAGCCAGTAATGTTTTAGTATATTTTATTTTCATTAATTTTTTTACTATGGGCCTAGGCCTAATTTCAGCATTCATTGCTAACCATTCAATCCCATGCACTTTGGCTGGTAAAAAGGTAAAGCACAAATCTAATATTCATAGATAAGGGTGTCCGATTTATTGAAGCTAGAAAACAGTATTTTAAAACAAAAAAAAAAAGCTTTTTGGGCTAAATGAAATTACCAACCCTATATTTTTGAGAATTTGGTTTGGTTGGTTGGGCTTGGGTAACATTGTTTGTGATTTGTGCTTTTTCAGGAATATCAGTTGTTTGTATTAATTGGCTTCATCTCTCAAATCTTCATTTCATATAGTGTGGTGGATGCGACTTCGCCTGCAAGGCTCCGGAGTGCGAGTGCGCTGAGATTGATTGCTGTTGCTTTAAAATGCAGTTCAGCACTTCTTGACGAATCGGATTCAAAGAATTCATTTCGCTACAGCTTTGATAGTCAGATCAGCTATACTGCACGGTGCTATTATACGGTATATTTCATTAACAAATAATGGACTTGGAGATAAAATACCAAATATTATGTTATTTTTGAGATGATGTTTTTGATATTGTATTTAAAATATAATTGCTTCTGCTAGACTTTTTGTAATTAATTTTAAATTTAATTTTAAATACAATAATTAACTTTAACTGGATGGCTAAGCATATTTGTAAACAGTGCCTTTGATAGATATATCAGCTACAAATTGCACTGATACAAAAAGAGAGGCGACTTCTATATTCTTCTTAATAATTTGACCAAACAATTTGTATTTTTTATTTATCCCAACTGAGGATATGTTTTGGTCAGTGGTGTAACGTCTGTGAGCTCTCGGAGGCAAAGTGAAAGGGCTCCGAATCCTAGTTTGAACAGAGTTGTGGTATAATTTTTTACTCTTTGAATGGTGCCTTTTAAATAAATGTAAATAAAACGATTGATGGAACTTCAAAGATCAGGCTTCAACCAATATCAAATACCAAAAGATATCAAATGAATGATGATGCACAATTTGTCGATTTTTGTGTGAAAACAAAAAACACGTTATATTTTCATTGCGGATTTTTTGGGCTCAGTACAGACTCTAAACGTACGCATTTTCTTTTAGTTTTAAGGCGTATGCGGATTTTATAAGTCCGCAATGACGTTATAACGTGATAAAAGTTGATTTATGGTTAAATACTCAATAGTTGATTACTTTAAATGACATCTTTTCAGTGATTTGTTTTAGTTAGAACACTATCCACACCTCGGACACTTTGTGAGTGAAAATATCTTACTGACACAGAGTCCGCAACATTTCTCGCCCTGGGCCCCATTTAACATTTTTCTCCAACTTAATGCTTAAGCCTCATGGACATCAGTTAACATTTCATTAGAGTAATTTAGCTTTCTGGTCAAAATGGCAATAAGTCAAAACGGCAATGACCAAAACGGTAAAAAATCACAACGTCAACACTTTTTGACTGGAATAGCAATGGAACGGCAATAGGCCTAGTCAAAACGGCAATAAACCAAAATAGTCTATGAAAGTTTTCTTTAAGAATTAAAACATATTTTCAATGTGGCCCTACATAAAACCAATTATAAACAAAGTGTACACGCTTAATACGGTAAACCATGAGGCTAAATTGTCATAGGATTAAAACTTTAAAATACAGACAAAATGAGGCTAAACAATTTATGTCATAAAAGTTACAAACGCGAAATTATAAACCATGTTAAATAGGGTAAAAAATGAGGCTACATTGTCATAGAAGTAAAAAACGCGAAAGAACGACAATCAAACAATAATAATAACAATAATTAAATTGAATAATAATATAAAATTCAATAATAGAAAGATTGCATGAACCATCTAAATAATTCGTCATAGATGTGTAAAAAAAAAAAAAAAACCTGATTAAACATAAAGCGGCAAAAAGAGCCCATGGCAATGTTCGATTTCCCTATCGGGACAATTTCAAAATGATTCATAAAATTATAAACTGCAGTGCACCCTCGGTAGCGCTAGTTTTGGTATTCATTTCGCTCCTTTGCCGTTTAGGTCTATGCCCCTATTGCTGTTTTGGTTCATTGCCGTTTTGGTTATTACCGTTTTGGTTTATTGCCGTTTTGACCTGCTACCGTAATTTAGACACCGTAAAATTTCATACACCATAACTTTGAGTCGCTTGAAATTATATACCGGTACTGTACATAAAAATAACAAACGCAAACATTAATTTGCAACGGTTTGGTGATGTCACTTAGCGTATTAAAGCCTAGACACTGTCCTAAACTTCTTTGATTAGAGTAATTGAACAGCCACATGTGTCCCCAGACCGTGTCCCCAGACATTACTCGTGTAAAACAAATGACAGTGAGGCAGTAGACACTTTGTTATCGTCTGGCAGTTGACCTTGTAAGAGTAAATCCGGTGGAGGAATGATGGGATAGGTCATGAGGTAAAGATAAAGACTGAATTCATGAAATGTAATTAATGCTGGTCATGTAGTTGTGCATAAGGTTTTTGAATTTTTTTGGGGGGGTGGGGCGGCAGGGTTTGTGAATATTGAGCTCGTACGAGATACACAATGTTGTATGATATGGTGCATATATGATCTAATCAAAATTTTGTAGAATTTCATGCTAGAGACGATTTCCTTAATGGGAAGGCCGATTTCCCCAACGATAGCATAAATGGACAAACTTGCATAGTAATCACAGCCCTGGTTTTTAATATTAAAATAATGGACTGTGACATCACTGTAATATTATGTAGAGTATTATTATTTAGTTTTGTTCGGAATTAATTTATGTATATAAAAAAATAATTATTTATATGTTTGAAGTGAATGGTGTGGTACCTGTACTGTATTATGTGTCTGAATTAGAGTTAATTTATAAAAACATTTGGCTACATAATAGCTTTGAAGAATCTTTGAATGTGTACATTATCAGTTATCGGCAAATTCCTGCTGCTCCAAACAAACTTGAAATACCATTTGAACTATCAGTATAGGCCTATTCTTAGTATCAAACGTAGGTCAAGTTCGTATGTGAGGCCTAATTGATAACCTATTTTTTATTTTGGTTGTTAATTTACTTAGGGGTAAGTATTTTATTTTTATTGTAAAGCGCTATGGTATTGAAATACCTTGTCACGATTTTATCGGATACATCTAAAATAAGTTCATGCTTCTTAGTACCAAAGTGGTAATTGATGCTTACTAATTATTACATTTTGGTTACTTATAATTACTGTACTTAAAATATGTTTGTTCATTTTTATGTTAAAGTGCTACGATTCCGACGTATAGCAACGCTTTATAAGATGAATGCGTACCATCTGTTAAGAGGACGTATTCCGGTTTAAGGGATAGATAGTGTTCTGTGTTATTTACTGAATTACAATACTGAATTTTAATCCCACTGTCATAGTTTTACGGAGTATTCTTCACTACCACCGTAATGATGGTCGAGCTGTAAATTCGAATAAACTCTCCGGGGCGTTATTGATGAGAAGAGTTTTGAGGGGGAGTGTACGGTATTCGAGGGAGACGTTTTAGGGGGTTATTGTGGGTTTTTTTTTGTTTTTTTTGGTGTAAGGTGACGTATATACTCAAATAAACGCCCTTAATTTCACTGTAAATGTGGTGAGGATTATGTTGGTTCCATTAGTTTGGTTTACAGTCAATTAGGCGTTTATTGGAGGAAAAATTAGGCGTTTATTCCAAATGAGCCTCTGAATAGTGTGTTTATTCGAGGGGTGCGATTATTCAAAGCTGGGAGTTTATTCGAATAAATACTGTACTGTGATTTTTTTGGTGTAAAATATTCACCTTGATTCAGACGATGAGATGGGTACAGTGCAATAAACATAGCAACCACCTGTATGTGTATTCAGCTCTAATAATAAAAGATTCGTACTTCGTAAACCATTGTATTAATTTGTCTTAATTTGAATTCAATCAACATTTCAGTGAAGAATATTCCATCATTTGAGCTAACCCAGTGGTCCCGCCTTTCAGGTCTCCCACACTCCGCGGATCCTCTGGGATCGGGGTGGCCGCAAGCAAGCATCACAGAAACTAACCCATGTCCCGCAAATCTGCATGTTTTTAATACTGTTCTTTATTACCCCTTTCTTATCAATTGTCTCACTGAAGTCTCACTAAATAACAATGATAATTATATCTTTACATTGTACAAGAAAATCACCGACAAAAAGTATTAACTTTTTCTGCTCATTTCACATGAACGTTATATCCCTGACGCCGATTTGTCTTTTAGAATGTTTTTCATTTTATCGTGTAGGCTTATCGTTTATATTAATAGAAAAGTTTTTTTATCATTTTAATATACTAGTGATCAAACACTCAAAAAAAGAGTATAAAAGTTCCTTTATTTATCATTTTAAATGCCCATGTTGCATAGTTTATTTTGATATAAGACAGATGCTTGATAACCAGACTTTAAGGACCATCCATTTTTTTAAATGTTTTTTTTTATGTTTTGTTTGATTACCGGTGGTATGTAGATACAGTACTCGAAAAATATCAGTGCATCATATTACTGTGTCTATGCAAGTACTGTAAATACAAACGCTGTATAGGGAAATGCTGACATTACAAAATGTATTTGCTTCCTTTTATTATACCATCTAAAATCGTTTTATAAGTGGTAGGTCTACAGTATGCAAAGCTTCCATGGGGCCCTTGGCAGCCCCAGTGAATCGGGGTAAGGATAACCATCCTTCCTCTGAGGAAAGGTCCTCGAAGGTGTGCTTCGCGCCACCTCGGCAGATCCATCCTGGATCCGCCCCTGCAAATGCAGCAAAATAAAATTGTTTGTGTTCAAAAACCTCATTTAACCAGATCTTTCGGAAGTGACTTCTTCAAATTTGGGACCCCTGCAGTGGCGGATTCAAGGGAACCATTTTTTCTCTCTCCCTCTCCCCTCCCCTCCCCCCCCCCATTATTTTTCAAAATAAAAAAAAATTGTGAAAAAAAAGAAAAGAAAATTGAGTCCTAGAGTGCCATTTCCGGCTATCTAGTGGTGCCATAATCATAAATTTTTATGATTTTGTCATTATTATTTAATTGTTATTATTATTATCAACATCATCATTGGCATCATCACCAATGACGGTAAGCCAGGATTTTCAAACAGTGTGGGACAATAATTTTAGGGTGGACCCACTTGCGCATAACTTCAAATAATGTGGACTCATTTTACGCAAAAATATGAAAAATCTGGACCCATTTTTCTAAAAATTTTACCCATTTTAGGTTAAATATGAGAAATCTGGACCCATTTTTCTAAAAGTGGACCCATTTTCAAATGTGGACCCATCATTAGAAAAACATAGTTACCAACCTGAGAGATTTTAAATGCGTGACTACACCAGTTAAGTGTGGGGTCGTCAGGCCCCGGGTTTCCAGGGGCGGAACCGCGGTGTGGGCCGGCGACAGGCACATCAACGGCTGGTTGTGACAATGAACGCGCAAGACCGCACGAAACTGATTCTACTAAATGCGGGCAAAGATATAGAAACACAAGATAGAGCACTCGCTAGTGGCGTATCCAAGGGGCCCCCTCATATTTTGGTCGCGCCTCCTCCCCCATTTTAATACTGCTAGATACGCCACTGGCACTCGCATGGTATAAAAATGAGGCGGAAATCGTGCCCGACGTAGGCGGCGCCCTTCTTTTTAACCATGCAAGTTTTATATACTTCGTGCCCGACGTACAGGGTGCCCTTCTGTTGCTAAGTATATCCAGACGCACACGGTGCCCTTCTTTTTCCACTAAGGAAAACTTCATCACTAGTGCGTCCGTCTGGCCATACGATTTTACCCTATATTATTGTTGTTTTCTATACTGATCCATAGGCTTAATTGTGTGTTTTATTTAGATAATAGCAATGATTTCTACCTCCGCCAAGGAATTATGTATTCACCGTTGTCACTGTCTGGGTACAATTGTACTAATTGTACAATTGAATACAATTTTTTAATTGAGAATTGACAATAAAATACGCGACGACTTGGTAACGAAAGTTTGGTTGAAGTTTTTTTTAGATCCAGCCGTAAGGGGCGTCCCATTGTTTGTATTCCCACCATGCATTTCGGTGGAACACTTTTTTTGTGTGGAGAACTCTATCTTGTGTTTCTTGTATCTTTGATGCGGGTTGGCTGGGTTCAGTGGCGTAGAAAAATATTTTTCATTGGGGGGGGGGGGATGATTGGTTACCGTACCCTCTTTAAAGATGGTTAAAATAAAGAATTAAAAAAAAATATACCAACTCTGACCCAGGACCCCTGTTACGCGCCTCATGGTGTTAGCGCCAATGTGTGCACTTGTGCAGACAGAAGATGCGCCCCCCCCCCCCCCCCCCCCCCCCCCCCCCCCCGGCCCCCTCCCC